GGCACATAAACAACAGTAATAATGCTGCAAAATATATGCAAGGTGTTGCATTTTAAGCATGCAGAGACCTGTGTGCGTTTCAGAGTTTTTATTTGCTATTTAAAAGATAAGCCTTTGATTGCATTTGACAAAAGTTGTGCCTGGAAGGCTGAAGTTATGAAAGGAGTTCACTGAAGCGTGTTGAAACCTGCAGCCTGCATTTTAATTGCAACAGTTGTTTTTTTAAATCAAAATCTAGTAACTGTAACAATACCCGCTATAGTTGGAGTAACAGTTTACTAATAGAAAGTTTTGAAGTGTAAAGATCCCTATGTTGGGTATAGGTTAAGGTTAGGCATGGCAAAAGAAGGCAGTTCGGCATAATGCAAGGTTTATGTCGTATGCTGGGAGATGGAAAGCATTCAAGTCCCAGTTTAACAACTCGCAAGCGGCCACCAGACACCAGACAACACAACATGGTTGTGTAACTTTGAGGGCTTGAAAATACTGTGAATTGTTAAGAAACGTTATATCCATTTCCTGGCTTCGATAGCTTTCAGCTAATTAATTTACTATTCAAGAACTTTCTTCATGTTTTGCATCAAGTATGAATTAACTGCTCACATTATGATGAAATAAACAGCTCTTTACAATTTGAAAACTGGTGTTTTTATGATTCCCCTTATCACATAAAAGCCTCAATAACAGCAATAGATGAATCCCTATAGGAAACAAATGTTACCATTGATAATCGGTATATTGTGTTAAATGTAGCCTACATTCAACACATACAGTGAGAACCCAACAGCTGCCTTTTTGCTTTTCAGAGTCAGAGCTCAGGCTAAAAGTAGATCTGTAACATTTAGCCTAAAATAACTTCTACTTATAGACATACTACTCTGCATAGGCTGCAGTTACATTAACCATAACCATTGGCCTACTTTATAACCTCTTTAGATAAAAATAAATGCTGTTGAAAAAGGTGTGAATCTATCTGAAGACAAAATTATATTGGAAACATCCGAGAAAAAGAGTTAGCAAGGCCCATACTTTCACATGTATACAATAAAGCACTGTCAATAGGCTATGAATGATCGATACTGTAAGCTATTTTACTAATTTACGTTTTTATACATTTGTATAAAATCACGTAAAGGCTAAAATTCAATGGAGTTGTCAGTGCTCTCTCAACCAAGTAGTTCAGCTAAAATGAAGAATCACAGCTTGACTAGATAAGAACATGACTGGCCCTTTTTTATCTTACTGACCGACTTAAAGTTGTTCGGCTGACTGGCAGGTTTACTCACCGGCTCCTAAACCCAGCAGCCGACAGATATCTCTGGTGAACTTCATCGGGTTTCAACATCCAGCATTATCGACCCAAAGTCTGAATAAAATGTTGAACTGTCACAAAGGACAAGACGTGTTTAATCTTCATTCAGCGCTGCTGCTGCTGCTGCTGCTGCCACCTCGTCGTTTCGGATACCCGGCTCACAGGAGGGTTGAGCCCGATGGTCCTCCTCCACACGTCCAGCCGACACCACCGTCAAATCAACATCAATAACACACACTGCATCCGGTAACCACTTTACAACAATAAAACAATGATAGGGAGAACGGGCAGACTTCTTCCGGCTGCATCTATCAAAGTAAAACTTCTTATGCACTAATGTTTCCTTCATAGATTTATGGGCGTTTATAACTTTCAAGTCCATTATTGTAATCAGGGCTGGCCCGTGGCATAGGCAGTATAGGCAGTGTAGGCAAATGCTAGGGGCGCCAGCAGAAAAGTTGAAGATAAGAAGAAGAAATAGAAGGAAAAATGCGGTTAAATACCACTAAATATTATATATCTAATATCATTTTCATGCTATTATTTAATAATGATACAAAAGAAGCCATGAAAACACAACTAGGCTACTTCACATATTTAAAAAGTTGCTCGTTACCTGCTCATTAGCTGCTTGTTGTGGAGGAGGAGGAGGAGGAGGGCAGGTGACTTATTAGAAGTGAGTGACAATGTGTGTACGAATTAATATCACGTTTATAAATGACCGTGATGTAAAAAACAACAACAAAGCCCTCCGGAGCCCAGGGACGAAACAGAAGAGGAGGAGGAAAAATATGAAAAAGACACAGAGGGTAACATACTGCACAGATCTATTACCTGTTGTATTTAAGCTACTTGTTATGGATGGATGATAGTAACGTCAGTGTTTCCTAGCTCGAGTTAACATCAATTATTTCCACTGTACTTTAATTAGGTTAAGATTATTCATGTCTTCTTTTGTTGTTTGAGAAACAAAACCTACTTTTATATTTGTTGACATTTTTGTGTACTTAGTTAGCTTTCACCCTAGTTGATTAAAATGTTTATTTTCCACCTCCTGTTGTCATTAATAGTTTTAAGCTTTTGCCTTTTGTCTAAGAGCATGAATGCATTTTGTGCTAGAAGTCCACACTGAATAGATATGTGTGCATGCTGTAGGTCTGGTTGAAGTCATCACTTAATAGATATGTGTGCATGCTGTAGGTCTGGTTGTAAGGAAAACGTTTGGGCTCACATGAAAAACTATGCTGAGGTTTCTGTACTGCTCTGAGGAGAAAATAATCTTTTGTGTTCACACTATATTATAAAATGCAGATTGTTTAACAAATGCTCATCTTCTCTCTCCAGATGACATTTTAAAACATTTAAATCCATCCCCTGCTGTCCCTGAGCCGTCTGTGACCACTTCTGCTCTCTGCACTGTTTGGTATTGTTTGTTCTGTTACACTGGTGATTTGTATTTATTAGGGCCCGAGCACTCACAGAGTGAGCGAGGACCCTCTTGAAACCCAAGGAATTATTATTTTTATTTTATTTTGTGTTTATTTATAAGAAGTCTTAGCGTTATAACCATTTTATTCATGTTTGTTGATAAGTATTTTTTATTTTAAAATAAAGAAATGATGTTAAATATAAAGCTGTAAGCCAGTTTTGTGGATGAATATTGTCTTTGGTGGTCAAACTGGCTGCAACTTAAGGGGCAACGGCTGAAATCTTGCCCAGGACATAAAAAATGGTTAGGGCCGGCTCTGGATGTGATGGACTGATATTCTAGCCTACTGAATAGCAGCACTGTCATGATTTGATCGTAAGCCCAGGGGTAAGGTCATCACAGTCTCGAGTGTAGTCTTGAAGCTATAATGTAGGCCTATTTCATTCCATGTAAGTTATTGTTTTTATGGTTATCCCCTTTTATAATCCAACAAATGGGTTATAAAGCTCTTGTGAAGATTCTTACTCTGTCATTTGTTATCATTTGGTTTTCTTAAAGAAATTGTTTTAATTGTATTTTAAGTGATAACACAAGAAATCGTAATGGATAAATTACTGATTATGTTAGCAAATGAGCATACAGTTCAACATATATGAAACAGCCTATTTTTTCTATGTGGCTTATTCGTCATTTATTTTTCAAGGGGATTATTTGAGAACCCCCCTCATTATAATAAATGCAACACACTTTGTCAGTCTGGTCAAGAAGTGAGAAATATTCTGGGAACCACAAGCTGTAAGCCATGTGGTATTTCCGGCACAGCGACATGACCTACTTCAAACTGGAGAGCAGTGGGTCTGGATGGAAAATATAACTCTGGGTAGTGATAAGAATTTTGTTAAACATGAGACAGCAACAAAATGACGTTTGCATGGTTGTCCACTGGGTGGTGATAGTGCACACTCTGCCATTGGTAATGATGTTAAAAAGTAGCATTATAATAAAGGAAATGCCCATATCTGAACATGTTACAGGTAATGGTATCAGAGCATGTTTAGTGCTTTAAAGTGGATGGTCTTGTTTTCATTTCCCCCCTATATTTCCATATGACAACCCAATGTGTCCACATCCTGGCACTTCATTTTATTAATGAGTGAATAAGAGGGGTGGAATGAATCATGCAAACTGGGCATTTCTTTAAAGCAACTGCTTGGGGAAATTAACTGCTTTGTGTTGACAAAATCTGTTTAAACTTTTTTATGTTAACTTCAGTACTATGACTGAGTAACACTGAGTCTGACTTACTGGGAATTTATGGGTTTCTGATTATATCAGCAAGTTAAGATTATTCTGCCCAAATTCAGAGCCTTGAAAATAATTATAGCCTATAGTTACAGTTGCTGCAAATAAGAGTGACACGAAAGAGGATCAAATATAGGCTATGTAAATGGTGTATTATAGCATCAATGTGACTGTATGTCCATGTCAAATAAACAAATAAATACATTTTAAAGTTGAAGGTTAAATTTAAAGAAACCATGCCTAAAAAGGGTAAATATGAGTATGATAACTTAGGTCACAGTAAAAGAATAGTAATCGTAGTATTAACAGTAGGCTATTGATAGTTCAGAAAAAGACCCATGGCTTTGTTAAAAGCTCCAGGTGATGACATCATCGATTCTAACTATAGTGCAACTTGATCTTATATTAAACGTACTCCAAGATCATAAGGATAAGGGGAATTGCTCATGATAATGTTGTGAAATTAATATTGCACATGATGAAGTCCAACATGGAAAAGTAGATACAAATGTCAAAACAAAGAATATCCTTAATGTAAAAAGTTATATTGCACATGCAATGAAATGAATTATCGGACATAAAATGAAAGTAATAGTTGCCCATGATAATGAACATGTTATGGTTATAGTCCACTATTGAAAAATAGAAGGGAAGGCTTCTCAAAGTGATATGTTGTTATATTGTTATTTATTTGTAATACAGTAAATTTTATTAAAAGAAGAACAAAACATAGATAAAATGAAACACAGTGCTGTAAGTTTTGTGTCAATTTTTCTACATTTCCTTGTGCTGTTTGTGAAAATAAAAAATACAATTGCCCGCAGTCTGCTGGCACTAACACCAGTCCAATCCCTCTCACTGTAATCCTGATAGACGGTAAGCTAAACCAATCAGAAACCGTTGTCTCCAGAGCGTGAACCAATTAGATTTCGCATAGGCTTAATTGGGCGAGGACATTGCGGAAGCGACAGGCTGGCTCAGCAGCCATTGATGCTCTTAATTTCAAGAGGAAAAAATCGACAATAATTCTTTCATATCTACGCTTTTCTGCGGACTGAAGTCATGGTTTCTCACTCTCTCGCCCTTCCCATGATCTGCTTCACCACGCTGTGGGGGCTGGTGGGGGTCGTGGCTCCGTTTTTAGTGCCTAAAGGACCCAACCGGGGGTAGGTGGTCTATCTGCAGTTAATTGGTTGTATATTACGGCGATACTACAACGATTCTTTAAAATTCCTAACCTCATATTCTGATGGAGTTTCTTCTTCATAATCAATGTTTACCTCGCGTCGAGATTTATTGTGTCGTAATAAATGCACAGGAGCACCTGCTCATGTGATGGAGGCCCTGCGCGTCATCTTCCCTCCATCCATCCATCCCTCCCTCCCATCCATTCTTCCGACTGTAAGGTTAAAGGGTCGAATCAAAACGAATACGCTTTTCAAGGTCATTTAGGCAAACCATTTGGAGATAGTGATGTGGTTTGAGGGTTTGAAAAGATGAATCCGGATCGTGACTCTTGGGAATAGCGCAGGCTGTATCCTGAGTGATGCTGAAGCCTTGCACCGCTTGAAATCTGTGTAATCAAAATAAACATCAAAAAAGTTCACTATCATTCAATCATATTGTCTGGTTATATTATAAACTGTTTATATGTAGTCCAGACTTAAACACGTTAAGATAAAGGGAGCCTAATTTAGTGCATCCAAATGACAAATGTTTAGTGAGACAAAATCTTGTTTCAAAAGCTATGTGTTAAATTAACTAAAGCTGTGGCAAACAATCAAAACTAGAAATTATTAAGTTAATATTGACTAATATTCAAGCAAAATGTCAAAAAAATGCCTGGGTCCAAACAAAGACTCTGGGTTCTGGAGTGATAGTTGGACAGAAAAGAAATCTGAGGGCGTAACTTTGGGCTCTGGGAAATTGTGATGATGCTCTGATGGGAGGCTTTTCACTTGGTTTTTAGGAGAGAATCATGAAAATGTATCAACTAAACTTAAAATGTAATCAGTTGATTGTAAAAAAGCAAGCAACAAAAACAAGCAGAAATGTAATTGAAAATGAAAATAATGGGGTTGCAGTCTCAAAGTAAATACTGAAGTACTCAATCTGAAACTGTTGAGAAATGATTAACCTTAATTAAGAAAAAAACCCACTGCCTCAGACAGTCAATTTGAACATCTGAACAGAGGTGTGTAGATATAACTCTGTCTTTGTTTTCAGGGTGATCGTCACCAGCCTCATCCTCACTGCGGTCTGCTGCTACTTGTTGTAAGTACAAACTCTCCTTTTCTTCTTCTGTGTCTTCAATGTGAAGCTGCTGTCATTTTATGTGTTGATGTGGTTTTTTTTTTCCCCTCTAACCTTTATGAGTCATCCCCAGTAGTGATGGTTAAAAGTGTTTAGATCATTTACTGAAATTACTCAACTTCTGCTTTTAAAACTTAGCAGAAATTATGTGTATTATTAAAACAACCTAAACATGGAAAGAAATAGTAATTGTGAAGTAAATTGGTCACTGGCAACAGAGTTACTCTAGTCATCATCATATATGTAAATTTCCCCGTTGTGGGATAAATAAAGGATTATCTTATATCACGGAAGACCTGCAAGTATTCAAACAGGACATACCAACCAGTAAGTGGCTCTAACAAGACACAAAAACAGATACATAATGTTGTTCAGAGGCTTTACAAGGCCAAGGCCAGGCTAACAGCCAAGAAAAAAAAACCCCACCAGATTTACGAAAACAACCAGCAACAGAGTACTGTTCAATAAGTTTGTGTTTTAGTTGCAGATTTCACCACTCGACGTCACTGTTATTTTAAACTAGCTGTAGATTAAGGTTGTCGTTGTTGTTATTGCTTTATTATGATGCTTTGTCATATATGAAAAACCTGTTTGGTTGCTGTTTGTTCATTATAGGCAGACAACAGAAGTTATTTACAGCTCTTAGTCGGTTTCGGAGCAAAGGCTGGAGACTAAAAAAACATGAGTGGCATCGCTGTAATGAACACTACATTTACAAAAAAAAATGCTACTCACTGATTGGCTGCAAGAAATAAAAATGTAATATCTGCCACAATATACAATGTAACCTCATAACAGTAACTTTCAACAAAATCCAAAGTAACAACTCTGTTTAACTATTTCTATATAAACCATATACAATTTCAGAAGCCTAGTGATTTACATTTAGACCAGAAAACTGTCCCATAACTAAAGAGAAAATGAAAGACATCATTAGAAATCTAAAGAATAATAAAAGTCTGGGTACAGACGGAGTCACTAATTCATTTTTACAAAATATTTATTGACATCATTGGCCCAATGGTTGAGAGAGCTGACTCTTTTGCCTTTAATAAAGGGGCCATAGTTTTAGTGATATAAACCTGCCTCGCCTTGATACCCAAAGAACATAAAGATCATGAGGTAAACTATAGATAATTAAAGTCCTGCTGATCTTAAAAGAAGGACTGTGCTACGCCTCACTTTCTTAAGCAGTTTAGAGAGTATCAAGATGACCGTGCTACCCAGGCTGCTATTTCTTTGTCAACTTCTATCTTATTCCACCAAAAAATATGTTTGTGGCTGTTCTTTCAAGGGTTTGTTTTTTGCAGGGGAGGCGCCCAGATGTTAGATAGAAAGTTGGATCGTTATCAAAACAACTAGGAGGTTGGGAACTCCCTGTCAATTAACCCTAGAACACTAACTAACAGCTTTGTAACACCATCACTAACGTCAGGTATATTTTTACCCGATATAATAAACCCAATAAAACATACTTCCCATCAAAACATATTAAATCCCAACAATACATGGCAAATTGAAGTACTCTTCTGATACAAAGGTATCATGGGGGACCCTATAAAAAGGCTCTAAAATTTGTGAAAAATTGGGGAATCATTACTGAAAAATTCCTAAAATAAATAAATAAATAATGGAGCTGGGATCTGTTTTTCGGTCTACTTCTTCCTGGGACATGTGTTCACTAACAGACATGTATTACTAATGTCAGGTGAAATTCACCCGATCAGCCTGTTGAAAAAAAACAGGGATTGGAGCAGGGAAACACACCTACCTTCAATGACATCAAGGGGCAGCCTGAAGCTACCCAAGGACCCACGCAACTCAGACAGCAGCAACACAATGAAATTCACATGAGCACAATCGAGTTAGTGTTCTAGGGGTCAGGGCCTTCCCCATCTGGATTTTAGACAGGTTGGAAACAAGGTGGCTTGATAATGAGAAGACCACCATCAAAATGCCCCCGGCTAACATTCCATTTGTTTGGAGAAATCGAAGACCTTAGTCTATCCATCAGCTTATGGAAGGCCAGACATTTGAAACATTTCAATAGTTATGTAAGGATTTTAACGTTGTCTTTTAGAAATCTCCAGATTAGAAGTTTTTGTCTTACAGACCCAAACTGAATCAGCCTGTGGAAAGATGGCTCCCTTATGGAACAATACTTGATGAAAATTCAAGAAACAGAGGCCAATATCCAATATATAGAGAATATTAGCTGGTATGAAACTGGAAAACACCCTGAGTTAAATCAACTGGAAGAGGAGCCAAAATAGGAAATCCGTGAGGATGTCTGGGTAAATACTGTATGTCCTCAGAAAATCACAAAGTCACTAATGCAAACCTGTAGAGAAAAGAATTGGTACAACATTGTGAAAAAAATAATAATAACAGAGAATGTCAATTCATAACTTTTCTAAACACTAAGTTGCAGCTAAAACCCACTAGAGCCACTAGAGGGAGCCACATCACTGAGTATATCTTCAAAATAAAACGAACTAGAGTAAATAATACAGTACAGAACTTTCAAATTAAGACAGCATTTTTTTTTTTTTTTTTTGCATTCATCATCAATCAAATAAAATGAAATATAAATGACTCGTTTTTGCAGGTTATGAAACAGACTGAAATTAATAAATAATGCTGGCTATTTAAGAACTACAAAAGCAAACCAGACTATCTGAACAAAGATTGATTATTTCTATATAGTCATTTAGAATGCCTAGTGCATGGTAGTTGTCAGATTAGGTCAATAACAACATGCTGCAGAAACAGCCTCAGGGGGTGGGCACCAAAATTGACACAAAATCTCCTAAAATGAGCTTTCAGGAAAAAAAACAACAACACATTTTTATGTTGTAATGTTTTGTGATGTAACTTTGAGATTTAACAGCCTTTGTCTATGTTAAAATCAATCTTTACCTGACACCAGTTACTGAACAGTATCATCTCAAAAGATAGAGTGTTACGTACAAACAGTTCAAAAAATGTATTAATCCTTTAAAATGTTATGTTTTCTAGAAATCTTAGAATACACGTCAAATGTTGGTTCTACAAAAGAAATGTCATTAAACTGTAAAGATTTAATTTCAAGATTTAATCTAGAAAAATGTAACCTGAATAGCATTTGTATCTGTAAAGTCAAACCATTTATGTGTATGGAGAACTGGGCAGCATGTTCCTTTGACGGCTTCTTGGAGGGAAATTAAGTCAACAGGTTTGACTAAATTACCCCGATTTCCAGTTTGCTTCCACAATGTGGGGCCCTCACAGCAAGCGTAACTGTTTTTATTAACTCTGTCTTTCCCAAGAGTGTGATGCAACAGATGCCCATACAGTTCCTCTAGATTCTGCCTTAAGTTAATTAAACTTAAAGTGAATGTACCGAAACGAAATCTAAACATCTCTATAACACTGTAGGTAGGTGGGTGTGCATCACTTAGACTTCAAAGTCTGGCACACTTCCTGGAAGCTTAACTGCAACCTAATGTAGTCACCACTATTTTTTATGTAGCTTTAGCATTTAGCCAGTTAATAAATGAGCACAAAACACCTTCAATTAGACATTCAGCCATTATCATCAAACCATTATTAACCATCAGTATTATACTCACACTTACACCACACTAAGGGAGCCTTTAATGTTTTACGAAGTGGCATAGTAACATCAGGCTAGCATTACAGTTGCTGCAAGTTACAAGCTTGAATCAAATTTATAAATAATTAGAAGTACTTAACATGAAAAAATATTTGAGAAATGGGTAAACAATACCACTTACTGTTCATGACTGTTGCATCATCCTCTCAGATGAAATCCATCCATACAAATGTACCACAGGTTTGGGCAGCAGGCCTCAACATTTTCCACCGAATGAAACGCTTTAAAAGAGGAAACTTTATCATAATATCTTCAAAGATGTTCAGAAAGTTTTGTTTCTCTCATAATTAAGACAACTTAGTGATGGTGTTTAATGTTTGCAGTACAGAAAAGCATTTATCATCCAATACCACTGAAAAACTCAACAGTTAAAGTCTGCCATTAAAGCACATGGCAGAGATCTAAGGGTTCTTTATAGATTCACCTTAGCTGGGCCCAGCAATAGGCGGCCATCAAAGTGCCTGAGTTAAAGTCCAGTAAATGCAGAAGAAGATTAAATTGTGAAAGTTTAAGAAGCAATCTTCCTTCCACCATTAATACTATAAAATGATTTCTTTGAGTCCATTCAGTGCATCTGCGTGATATCTAAATTCACAGCAGTGATTGCCAGATCATCAAGAAAACATTCCTGCATCCAGGTCCGCCTGCAGGTTGAATCATTGGTATCTTTGCAAGGCAACAGATCAATTTGGTTTAACAGAAAGATAAAGTGTGGTTCTAGGTCATTAACACCCCTGTATATATTTGATAAACTGATGAACTTGTAAACTTTTGGAGTGGTTGAAAGCCATTCCCTGTAATGTGCTATTTCCTGTTTTTGCTTCACACTTTTGATGGTTATTATTAATAAAATGTATTGATGCCACTGTAGAAACATCAGACATGTTGATCATGTATTTTTTTCTCTGTCTTTGTTACACAGCTGGTTGATAGCCATTCTGGCCCAAACCAACCCTTTGTTTGGCCCTCAGCTGAAGAATGAAACTATATGGTATCTGCGCTACTTCTGGGAGTAAACAAGGTGAGTTAAAGGCTGCAAGGTATAAATAAGTATACTGACATTTCAATGCTGTTATTGCTGGTTTGTCTTGATCCACCTAACACAACTACAGATAGCCACCAATAAACACAAAAAGAACAGTATACTTTACCTTCAAACACTAGAAATGTTCATGGTGGTGTTACTGATTGAAAAAAAGCTGATGACCAATTGAATGTTTTTAAAAATGACTGAATGTGAGTGTAAAACAGGGTCGGGAATCACAGGAGAACTTGCAAAATGATAAGATACGATACAGTAAGATATGATATTTACATTAAGGCAGTGTGCATAGGTGGATGTCAAATGAGGAGGATAACAATATTTAAAAGATAACATAAGTGACCATAAAATGTTTAAATACTCTAATTTACATTCACAGTGCAGGTGTGAGTCAAGGTTATTTCACCGTGATTGTTCTGAGAGTCATTGACTGTTCAGCGTTCATCAGAGTGACAGCCTGCCTGGGGGAAGAAACTGTTTTTATGTCGGGTTGTTTTTGTGTACAGTCATTTGTAACACCTTTGAAAAGTTTGTGTCTGGGGTGTGAGGAGTCTGCAGTTATGTTACCTAATCATTTCCTCACCCTGGACTGGTACAAGTCCTGGATGGAGGGCAGGTGGGCACAAATAACTTTTCTTTCATTCCTGATGGTCCGTTGCAGTCTATGTCTGTCATGTGTGGTGGCAGATCCAAACCAGAAAGCGATGGAGGTGAAGAGGAAAGACTAGACTATTGCAGTGTAGAATATGATAAGCAGCTCCTGAGGCAGGTTGAACTTTTCCTGAGTTCTTCCTGAGAATAAATCTGAAAACGAACCAGACAAAAGGTTAAGTATATGGAGAGAAGATGATGACAATGCTGAGACCTGTGTGCAGAGAAGGCCAGGCAACTGTATGTTTGTATATTGGAATATTTTACTGTATTACAACAAACACTGGATATTGCTTTTTCTTTGAATGGCTCTAACAAATCTGAAAAATGTATGCTAATTGCAGATTTTATGCTAATGTATTCATACTTAAGATGAACCTAATTTGCCTGCATTTCAAACATACTAGTCAGTTAAATGCAATGTAATTTAATCAAACTAATCCTACTCTTTGAATCAAGATCAATTAAACTACATACATTGTGCTAAATCAGTTCGGTTACTGATCTGCGCAGGCCCTTTGGCATATTTCACTGTGTGTGTGAATTAAAAGAGAAATGTCTCACTACATCAATGCTAATGGCTGTTTCATTGCAATCAGCTGTTATTTCTGTATCAATTCAAACCAACAAGAATGATCAAAAGGAGACTTAAACGACGATACTCGTGTATATTTCTTTTTTTCTGCTGTTTTTTTTTTTGGGCCAACATTTTCTTATCCCTCATGCTGTGTAATGTATTTACATGTTTTGCAAATTATAAAACCACTCCATTTGTTTCTAGGAACACAGTGGAAAACATCCCCACACTGTACAGCCTATAATGAAAGAAGTGGCATGTCTGTCAATTCTGTAGGAAAAATAAACTAAACTGAATTCAACAAAAAACATACAAAACCCTGAAACAATTTCTCAACAGCATGTTTGCTCTGAACCATTATAACCATTATAACATCTTTACACTGGCTGCCTGTTAGTTTTCGTGTTGATTTTAAAATTCTTTTATTAGTTTATAAAACATTACATGGCCTTGCACCAGACTACCTATCAGATATGATTTTAGTTTATGAACCAGTACGGCCCCTCAGATCCTCCAGTTCCTCTCTCTTAGTTGTTCCACAGAGCAGGACAAAAACCTTTGGTGATGCTGCTTTTAGCTGTTACGCTCCGAGACTGTGGAACGACCTTCCTGAGGGTCTGAGAGGAGCCCAGAATATTGAGATTTTTAAACTCAGTCTTAAAACTCATTTATTCAGTCTGAATAGACCATGCTCTACTTTGATAACCAAGAAAGAAGAAGAAACTAATATTTTCCGTTTCCATTTTCTACCTCAAGATAAATCGACTTGTCCTGATGTATGTTTTTTCTTTCTTTTCTAGGACTTGGCTGGACATTATTTCAACATTACTCCTGACGAAAAGCGTTCTCACCGAACACAATCTGCTGAAGAGAAGAGATAACAAGTGAATTGTCACAGTCAGTTTTCTTTGCAACATTTGGCAATATTTAAAATGATGTACAGTACCTGAATATTGAGATGTAGAGTTTATTAAGAGACATGTGTTGTTGAAGGAGGATACATTTACACCAATCCAATGCAAGTAGTTTGAAGATGTGATTTAGTTAATGACCGGATTTGTGAAGGATTCAAAGATGAGGAAAGCTTTTGTTGTTTCATTATGTGGGTTACTGATAGGAATGATTTCCAGTGAAACCTTCACACCATCTGTTGGGAGTAGAATATTGATCTTCATTTTCTGAAATGTGCAATCCTTTTGTTATTTAGTTGATTATGTGTTTGTTTACATTTTTGTTTTTTTTGTTGCTGCCATCAGGGAAGATGAATTTTTAAGTATTTGTATTTATTTGGCCCATGGGCACTGATGTAAGTGCGTTGTAATAACCTCAGTGTCCACATGGTCTTGTTATATAACTGTTGTTAGTTGTGATGTAATGGTGTGTGTGTTGAGTGTGAGTGTGTGTGTGTGTGTGTGTGTGTGTGTGTGTGTGTGTGTGAGTGTGTGTGAAGAGTTCATTACAGTGAGTGTTTGGATCGTGGCCATGAGAATCTCCCAGAACTGTAAAAAAGTGAAGAGTGATTCCTTCCACTTTAGCCCACTTCAGCATGAAAATCCCCTCCCACATTCCCCTTATGCTCTACACCGCGGAGGTCCTCGTTACCATGGTGATCTCATCATTCAATTCAATCCTGTTCTGCTCGACCCCTTTTGATGAAATCCTACCCATTCTCGCCTGCCTGTGTACAGATGTACTGTAGCTTGTACTGAAGGAGCATGTTTACTCGACTGAAGCTGCTGAATGCTAGTGGACCTCACAGATTTGCTGATATCTATAATCTCTACTTTATAATCAGACTTTAAAACAGCCGTCACACATATCCACTCCATCTAAACTACAGCCAATAATTTCTTCAAGAGCGAGGGGGCCCTTTAAGACAGAAGGATCTTTTCAATAGCAGAGTAAATTGCTGCTTTTGATTGGGTTCATACTTTCTTAGAATTAAAAGGTTCTCAATTCAACCATTTACAGTTCTGTTACAATTTAAGACTGTTTCGGTTCCTGATAGAACCTTTTTGTGAAGGTTACTTGGGGTACTTTCAAAGAGTTCTATTCATGAAATGGTTTCCTAGATCAATCTGTAAGAGGTTCAAGACACGGCTTCTTGTGAAAAACTTGACAAAGAACTGATCAACAGAAAAAGGATTTCCCTCAAGAATCCTCTCCAAATATCTATCCAGAACCTCTCAACCTCGCAGGGTTTTTAAACAAGAGTTCCACCCAGAACCCTTGCAAGAGTTCCTATACAGAGATACTTCTATGGTGAATTGGTAGTACCTAGAACTTGAGGGGATGTCATCAGAAACAACTGTTCTTCTAGGTTTGCAAGGAAGATTTCACGCTAGAAGCCCTCCTGTGATGTAATGGTTCCACCAATGATCCTCTTTGAGGGGTTCTTTAGAGAGTCCTCTACTGGTGTAGTGTTTCAACCTATAGACCGTATCTCGATGTTCTATAAGGAGTTCAGCCCAAACTCCCCTAGGAGGGCTTCTAGGAGAACTGTGTTTGATGTGTTCTGTTACCACCTTTAGGGGTGCCAGCAAGACCCCCTTCGAATGGGGTCTACAGAGAAACCTTTGATATTCAAAGGCTAACATCTTGAACCCACTAACAGGCTGAATTTAAAATACCATGGCTGGAGTTGAATATCTAAAGGAAACTGTTTATCAGATCAGAGTGCAGTCTCGAACTGGGTTATAGCTTGTTTTTGTCATGGCCTGCATTATAACTTCTTTCGTTCTGAGTTGCAGGAAATACTCAAAATGTTGGCTTCTAATCCCAAAATGTTGTCGAGCCTGTTTATTCTAATTGATAGCATTTAAGGTGTAGAGCATGAGCTCACTTCACTATTCTATCTGTACTGTTCTGTGTCTTAACAGAGGGCCCATGTTAATCTGTACACATGCATGTGAGTATTCACCAAGTTGTTGTGGGTTTATTCTGTTGCCAACTGGAAAAGTCAGGCAGCCAGAGGACATTTCAGTTTGCTCCAGAGTACATATTAAGTCAGTAAGACTTACATATATCTTGCCACGTTGTTATATTTTGCATTCTCTTTGAATAAGATTCTGGTGTACAACTCACCTACCTTCCCCTTACGCTTTACGTTTCAGCTGCTAGCCACTACTACAACTTCCTCTCCTCCTCCTTTCTACTCCCCATTTCCAACCCTAAAAAACCTGTCCCTCTCTCCTTCCCTTCCTCCTTCCTTCCTGAACACTCTACCTCCCAGCCCCTTTTTCTTAAAACCACTTTGCTTCAGCCAAAAAGAATCAAAATCAATATACAGCTACTTTTTAGAAAGACCAAATTACGTTGTATCTTTTCCTCCAGCCCTCTTCTGTAGTTGTTGTGGTGGCATGCATCTAAAAAGTGGATATACTGTACAGTCAGTTACACTAGTGTTATCACACCTGATCACACCCAATAAAGTTAAAGGCCCAGTACACCCACACAGGTGTTTGAATTACTCTGGCTGTTAAGACCAGGTCTAGTTGAAAATGTAATGATTTCAAAGCACCAACAAGTATAATAACAGGTCACCAAGTCCTCCTAACCACCAACTATAAAAAGCTACGCTAAAGTCAGAGGTAGCTTGGCTAATAGCCTCTCCTGCCATCCTGTGTCCACCAAAGAGCTTCAGAGAAACCCTGTTTTTTACACTAACCACTTGCTCCTTCTTTTCTTTACAGGTTTAATAACCTTAACTTTGAGTGTCTGAAGGAAAACCCCTAATTACAAATGTAGGTTACTAATTTAAATGAAATTAATTATTCTTTGCTTCAATGAACCTGAAGCTGCTACTGGAAGCATCTTATAAGCCAGGTATTCCGTTTCACCAGAGCTTCAAATCAAGTCACAAGGACTCAGGAGTTGATCAGTTTCGGACTCCTGTCAATCTGCTAAATTAGAGTTGTTGGTGTTGCAGAATTGAAAAATGACTGAGACTTGGTCCCCTAACTTAAGGTTAAATATGTGTCAATGTTTTATAGTTGTACATATTGAGAACTTGTGTAGAAGTAACTGAATTTTGGCATGGGTCCAAACTGCAATTTGCTGTCACTTCATTTTATTCCATCTGGCTTTCCAACCATTAACTGCTGGTTATCACTATGTACCAATAAACCTGTGTTGGTTTGTTTTCTATAGACCGTTTGGATGACAGTCCCAATCTCTCATACTAAAACTGTCTTCAGTTTGCTTGCATTTAAGTGTCAGTGAATCATCGGACAACAAATGGCATTGTTCTCACCCGGCCGAACAAATGGAACTCTACACTTTATACATGCTGGGTGCGAACTGGACATAGAAATCTGTTCATCTCTTCTGACAAGTGGCTGCTGTTAAATTAAATATTCCTGGCAACTCAGATGAAGAAAAAAATAAATTGTGTGTATGTACGTGTGTCTGTGTGGAGTCACTATGGTTACAAAAATCTACTCAGCAGTTCTGATCATTGGTGGAGATGAGATCCTGTACCCGACCTTGTATTCATGTGAAGTAAATGTTTTTATGTCAATAGCGATTTCTGTGAACCAACAAATAAAAAGAAATGTCTCATACAATCCTGGGGCTCCGCAAGCATTATTAGATTTTTCCGCATGGTTCATTTGTGAATGAAACACACACACATACAAGGACGCACACGTCACACTGCAAAAACTCAGGTTTCAAATGAGATTCAAAGTCATTTGAGTAGAGGATGAACAGTTAATTATCTGCAAGCATCAACACTCAACAAATCTGAACTTAACCCTGGACCCTCAAGCAGACTAAACTTTATGTCACAAGGATACACTAACAAGGACATACAAACACACACACCATTTCATTCTATACGTGGGCTTTTAGGAGTCTTGTCACTGTGCAAAGAGAAAAAATATGTTTGCCGGCCTTCCTGTTGCACGTTGTTGAATTTCCTGTGAGAGATTAAAGACTGGCAATTTGTTCAAAGCACTTTGGCAATGCAGTGTAAGGCCTCTTACATAATGATGTTGAAAACGTTTTATTGTGTCAGTCTGACTAAAACTAGACTTCTAAAATACATGTAAACATGATGTTAGTTAACTGAAACAGTATTAAGTAAATTTTCTAGAAGTCATACTAACACACCTAGATAATGCAGTTGATTCACTCTTGCAGCTGTGCAGTATGTGTTAATCAGTCCCATATTTGGCAAGGCGTTCTGCGCATGCTCCCCAGTTTCCACTCTGAGCTTTAACCCAAAAAACATATAGCAGAAGTTCACGTTGTCATTTGCCTTTGGATATCGGCATGACTGAGGGATAACACGCATCACATTTGTACAAATAGCAAAGTGTCGAGTATGTACAAAATGTACATAGCTGTAAAGTCGCTTTTTCACCGTTGGACATACAACCAGTTTGCTGCTAGCTAAGTTGTTTTGTTTATCATATGCTATGTGACGTAATAGGTCAACCGGAAACCGGTCCAGCTGGAAATTGCAAATTTGTCATTGCCAGCTGATGCCAGAAGTCTGCACTTCAGGTATCAGCTGAAAGAGCTGACCTCATGTTGCCTCTGCTCATGGAAACACACACATACAACTTATAAATATCACAGCAAACATCGATTTGGCTGGTACTGTCCAGTGCAGAACAGATTTTTGTGTTGGTACGAAGCTGACGCACAGTTATGAGAGATAAGCGACTCTTGTGTTGAAGGTCATTACAGTTGTACTTTGCTAATATGTCAATCATGGCATTTTATACAGTTTAATAGCATCAAATTAATACTTTGAGAGAAAAGCCTAAGAAAAGAGATGACTTGAACACAAATGGCATGCTCATAACCAACTATCATGACAAAATCGGGTCTGTAATGTATCTGAAATGCATTTTGGTTTTACAGTTTGACTCATGTCCTATCTGTTGATGTACAGGAGGCGGCTTCATAACATGTAGGCTTACTTTCAGCACGTCAGCAGGGGATGCTCTAAATCTTTTGGCTTCACTTGAGGTGAGATATTCAGCTGTCCATTCTGTATGTATACAGAAATAGTATATATAGATATACAGAATAGTAATATACTGTGAAAAGAAAGACGTGTGTTTTAGCGCTTATTTTGACACTAATCGAAGTAATTCTCAGTCAACCACATTCGTTTTTGTTTTTGTTTCAGTCAGTCTCTTTGTCACACGTGGCCTCATGCCGACTAGAAGTTCAGTCTTTCTCCAGTAAGCTGATGCCCCCTGTCCCTGATAATGCACAACAGGTTAATATTAAGCTAACGCTAGCTAGCTAAACAGCTACCTATGGTTGAAATTAAGTCTAAACCTAAGCTCTTTATTTTAAAATGTCAGGTTTTATTCAGTATTATTTACATTTTAACTAAGTTAATGTTTAAGCTCAATTCTCAGTCCGCTAGTTAAATAAAATAAAAAAAACGAACTTAGGCCAAATTCACAGACTGTGTGCTGTTTGTTTATCTGTTTACTGTTAGGGTATTGGGGGAAATGTGGCAATACTGTGCTTGCAGGCTTTGCACAAGTTGTTGAGCTGAATGATGATTATGTTATATGAAATTAATCTTATAACCACCTAAGAGGCCAAGCTTTCATCCATAATTCACAGCACCCAATAGTGGTGCAGCACTGCAGTCTCATTATCCATAATACAGATTAATGAGTAAACAACCCATCAAATCTCCATGACATTTGAGAAAATAGCATAGCTGTGTGTTAAAGGCCTTTATTATATCAACTCCTCTAAAACTGCGCACAGCCCCCTTTTAAAAAATGACAGTATTATCCTATAAGTATGATATATCTAAGGCTTAACCTACATTCTTATTTAAAAAGATGAATGCCAAATTCATACACATTATTTAAGGCCACACACAAACAGCCTACAGGCCGACACATATGTGCTGTAACTGACAGAGGCAGATAAACACAAACACCATACAGCTTATCCTCTATAATATTCATAAAATGTGGCTTAATGTGTTTATGCGCCATGACAACCAACCTTCCTCCAACAGTATATTAAGATTTCACAATCTTTATGCAAAGAGCTATATGAGCTGGCCTAAATAACACTTTCTGTGCTATAAAGAGGTTGTTTTTCATCACAAGGGAGCAGCTGCAAGTCAGTTGATGCATATTTAATCTCTATACACATACTGACAAAAACAATTTTAATATATAATGCACATTAGAGCCTGACAGATATTCGATTTTTGGGAAAGATAGTATATTAGGATTTGACAGTTAAATATACCAATGTAAGCCTATTGGCTGGTTCCCATATGCAAATTAAATGTGTCATGTTGAGGAAATAAGTTTGATTATTATAAGATTTGTATCCACTCAGGGTGTAATGTTGGTGATAATTCAAAAGAATAAAGGCATGTTTGGTGTATCTGAAAAGGAAAACAATATAAATAGGTTACCAACAAAGAGTGGATCTTACATATAATTAGTATGAGATGTTGTTTGATTCTCTCTTTGATTTTCACGATACCAGAATTTTAAAGTCAGAAGTGAAAGTAGCAAAAGTGTTCATCCTGTTTTGATATGGCAATAAAAATAGAAATCCCAGACACCTAATGTTTGGATACTTTTTGTTTTAATCGTCCAACGCCTGCTGTTGCTAAACATTGCTCTTTCTGTTGGGGTTAAAAATTTGACTGAAGATCTGTAGTTTTTTTAAGTCCATGTATTTTAAAATACTATTGATAATAAAAACAACAGAGATAATAATGTTTGAAACATGGCTATCAGCAACTATCAAAGTTAAATATTGACAACTTTATATATTAGTAGGCCTTTAAAAATAATGATTTAATAGGATTGTTATTGATTGACTGTTTATGGTCAAACCACTATGGAGCACAGCGTACTGTGAGTTCACAGAGGTAGAGAGGCTGTGAAGTTGTAGGAAGCCCGCTGTGAAAACTGCCTGCCATGGTCTGCTCCTGAGTTTAACTCTCCCGGTGAGGAGTGAAGTGTGGCTCTGCTCTGAAGCAGCCCGGAGGCCCTGCCAGGGTCAACGGGTTCACAGCCCCGCTCCTCACGGTGTCCTTAAACACGGGTCGTATGACCCCGCCCTCTGACGACGCCGTGTCGTAGGTACAAACCATATCCGTTTTCACTGACTTCTAAATCAGTAAAGTTACGAATGGTCAGATAGTATAAACTGTAAGGGGCTTTTCATAATAAAACTTCACTTACCAACTAAAATACACTTTGAAAATCACATAATAATAATAATAATAATAATAACATTGCACTTTAGCCTATTGTTTGTACCAATGACAGACCATATTAATGCAGACTGCATACTGTTATTGATGCATGAAAGCACAGATTAGAAGTTAAGATATCAAGCAGGTTGAGAAGTGCAAGTGACACAGATAAATACATTTATCCTGCACTTGACCTTTTTTAATATTCTTCAGCTAGTCCGATATCGTGAAGAAATGATTTTCTTGCAATACATCACTTATTGTGGAATCGCTGTATTATTACAATATAGTTATCATGGGCCATCTATTGTGTATTGTATAATATTATGAGTTATTTCCCCTTTATAAGTAACGAGTAAGCTGGGTGCAGTAGTATTGGCAGTTCAGTTCCAGGTGGTAAAAACATATTCTGCAACCTGACTTATTGCTTCTAAATATTATGATATTGATCATTGTAGCCTACATAATAATGACGACCAGTGATACTGAACATGATAGTAATACTGTTGATCAATTATTGAACACAGAGATGTTTTTTCCCCTATACATTTTTTATTAAATTTGTTAATACAATTTATAATTTAAAATTTCAAGCTGACCTTTATTTTGAAAGCCCCTGCCGGAAATGTGACATACAAATATCTCGAGCTTTACAGTCGGTCTGCGGGATTATTCGTGAACTTAGGTGCCCCTCGACCCACCGATGAGAGCTGCAACTGTTTTTACAGCTGATACACTTCCTTTTTCCACCAGGTCAGTTCCTTACAACTCCCTTCTCAACATTTACACTCTGACGAACCCGGAAGTATGCAGCTAACCACTGCGTAACACCTGTACGTCGCAAAAAACAACAACAACAACAACAAAGCCTCTCTCTCTCTCTCTCTCTCTCTCTCTCTTAAGGTTTGTTCTTCTCTGCACCAAAATAAAGTGGTTTAAATCTAAGCAGCCAATAGGAGGAGTCCTGTGTTGTTTTGTTACACAAAGAGGGACTCTTCCTCACAGACATCCAAAACTTTATTAAAAAATGAATCCGCTTCAGGGGGGAGATGACTGCACTCCCACCCTCTCATCTCAAAAACGGTATGCTTGTGCACCAATGGAGGGGAGGGAGAGACATGAGGAGGAGGAGGGGGTGGAGGAGGCAAGGAGGAAGGGAGGGAGGGAGGGGGGTATTCAACAGTCCTACTACAACCATATTTTCTGTCCCGTTTATCCGCCATTTGGACCAGCTCGGTAGTGCTGTAAACTAACTTCTTGCATGTGGCCCTATAGGTTGAACTGGATTTCCGTGCGGCTGCTGCTGTTGTTGTCCACCCGGGCTCTGCTCCTCTTTGTGGATGGTGCGTGATAATATCATCTGGAGAGACCGAGGCCGACATTTTACCCCGGTCCGGAGGAGCCTTAACTCCGAGGGGACATCCGAGGACAAGCGATAAGGTAAAGCCAGCCTCACAGTTTTCTACAGGCACATAAATGCGCTTTTCTTGACAAGTGGATGCGCTGAGAAGTTATTGACCAATAGGCTTCTTACAATATGAAGAGAAAAATATGAAGGCTTTTATTATAAAAATGGCTACTTTCACACGGATTTACATACAGTAGCATGGCACAGAACTGTACACTGGAATATTGTTTAATGCAACGTGCCCCAGAAAAGGCGCTTTAAAAACAGTAATCACTTATTTGTTACATGTTTAACATTTTAAACTTTAAATAAGCACATGTGTGTTTATTTTTTTATTTACATTTTGCATACATTTATCACATCCCTGCGCATTTGTAAGACGATTATAAAAAAAAAAAAAAAAGCTTCCCGTGTTATTTTCCTTTCAGTCTTTATCGTTTTTTATGCGATAAAGCCACAACTTATACCGACTTGAACTTGTCTGGGCCTGTATCACCAACCAACCAGCAGCAGCACCTGCAGGTGGACAAACAGCAGCCAAACTTGCTCTGTGATTTTGTTCTACGTGCAACTTTATTATTTAGTAAAAAGTGCCAAGCATGGAGGAAAAGCAGACTTTATTCCTGGAAGTGGCTGGAGCTGTTCAGCACCGAGCGGTTCCACATGCTCAGAAATCGGCCGTATTAGGAATTAATATTGGACATCCGGTGGCACTGCCAGCTGCGCCCCATTTTTATTGTTGTCTTGCGCTGAAAGGATCCCTGTTGTCTCGGCGTGATAGTCCGCGCTGTGGCCGCTTCTGGTAGGTATTTCTGCTTTTATATTTTAAAAAAAATACAAATGCACTCAGTGTGAATGTGCAGTGTGATAACGAGAGGAAGGTCTGGGATGTGGGAAGTGCGGCTCCTCGGTTCGCCGTGCCATGCGGGACACGCTGCTGGCTGCCACCATGGCACCTTCTTGTCCGTGCTCTGGCTCTGTTTGTGCTGCTGCTGTTCTATCCAGCTGTGCGGACACACACACACACACACACACACACACACACACACACACACACACACACACACACCGCCGTCATGCATCACCGGTTCTGTTGCACTGATCGGGTTCAGTTTACAGATAAAACGTGGTTTTTATTCGGGGGGAGAGCAGGACGCGCTCCAGAAGAGAGAGGCGAGGAGAGGGGCGGCGGACGGGGGCCACTTTGGCTCTCCATCGTTACGGGAAACCGAGCTCCAAGGACATGGGGAGGGGGAGGCAAGGGGCGCATCCAGGTCGTTAAGGTTGTTTTCTCATTTTGTTCCTTCTTAGCCACGAGTATTGGGGTCTTTTTATTACTCTTTGAAATAAGCTCGCGATATTTTTTTTTTTTTTTTACAGCGAAATCGTGCTTAGTCCGTCGTCCAGGTTTTTTGGAGCTTTATTTGGCAAATTGGCCTCCCAGACAGACCGACTGCCAGAGCGCCTCTCCTCCCCTCGCTCCCCCGTTTTCTCCCCGCTGTTCTCGGTTACTCTCTCCGCCATCACAGCCTCTTTAATACGGACTCTTTCCTAATTTACTTTTTCTCGACCACGTTTTCGTCTCTCTGTGCGTAACCTCCATCCATCCGTCACTATGCCGTCCTCTTATCATCTGGTAGTGTTTTTTTTTTTTTTTTTTCTAAAGAGGCCTCCAGCTGCTAAAGGTTCATTGTCTGGTCAGAGTGCTCATGCTCTAAATTTGCCTCATGGTCAAGTGTCTTTTCTCCTCGTATGGTTTGGATGGGAGGAGTTGTGAGTTAGTACTTCACCAACTCATTCTATAGTTTGTTTTTATTTTGAAATTTACAATTTTAACGCAAATTTTCAATGTGACGTGACACCATATGCAAGACAAACAGCTTAAAAAGTACCAATATGTTAAAATGCACAAATATCAGAATACTAACAGTTACTATAAAACTTCCTTTGTATACATTTTAACCCTTTATGGTGAAGGACATCTTCTACCACAGATCCACAGAAACACCCTGTTAAAATGATTTTTGACAACAGATGAATACTTTTTTGCCTCATATGAAAGTAAACTTTATTTAACTTTAAACTTTTGTTTGGATAAAACTAGTATGCAAAAGACTAACTTCTAAAGGAAGATGTGATTTTAAACTGACAAGATAAATGGATCAATCATTATGAAGGCTAAAGCCCAATAAAAATTGAGCATTCCAATAATAATTGGAGAAGACCCAGAATCATCTTGCATTAACTCTGGTCAGTATGTGCCATATTTAACTTAGACGTCTCCTCCTTTCCAAAACAAAAGAGCCAAAAATAAAACGTGAAGAAACCTGAAAGCGCTTCAGTGTTTCTCTAACGCTCTTCAGCAGAAATGAGAGGCTGCAATCAGAGCTGTTGCTTGCTTGTTTTTCGATGAGGACTTCTTTTGTTTTCATGGTTCACTAGGTTTTTAGAAGGGAACTTTCATTTTACAACATGTGTATCCTCCTCTGTAAGTTAATAACTATTAGAACAACTGCTGCTGATGTCATCAGCGCCACCATGAGGAGTCATGATGGGAAATCTGTTATCCGTTTTTTTTTTTTCAATGAAATACTGATCATTTGAACCAGCAATTCCATACTTGTATCCCATCGTCAGGATGACTAAATACTGCCATATCAAATTGTTATTTTTTGTCCCATCCCCACTTTGGGGGCTGCTAGCTGAGGCGATGCTAAGTTGGCTAAGTTTGTTTCTGTGATAACTTAAGATTCAGAAATGTTGTGCTTGAAATCCTTTAAAAGGAAAAGCGAGGATACCGTGACTTTAAACATTGAGAAAGTAGTCAGGTAGAATTGTGTAATGTGTGCAGCGTGATGTCTGGGCTTCTGGAAAACACTGATGAGAATACATTCTACTTTTAAAACATGACTCATGATACTGGAGTTTGGTTTGCTACCAAACAAAAACAGCTCTTGCAGTCCAATCTACTTATCGAAAAGAAAAAAAACTGATTTGACTTTACATATCAGAGAAAAGAAACAGCAATTAATCATTGATAATATCTTGTTCACTGCAGCACTTGTAATTTTAAGCAATGTTTTGGAAAAGAACATTATGGCATAGTGAGTTTCATTCGATTACAGCGCACTGTGTTAGGTAACAAGCTGTTACCAGCATATGGAGTCATTAGAATTAGCATATTAAGTGCCCACACAATGCATTAATAATACATTAATAAAAAAAAAGTCTTATGGATAAATATGGCAGAAAAGGACCAAAATAGTTTTAAGCTTGAGAAGGCATTGAAGCGTCTTGTGTGGATTTTGTCTATAACCAGTATAAGGCACTTCTGTCATGCACAAACTGCGCTACATGAGCCATAATCCCGCCACACTGTGAATGTAAACATGCATGTTTGTGTTGTCAGTATGTATTTGGTGTAGTTTTACATAAGCCGCAGTTGTGTTGGCATCCCGCTCTGCTCTCGTCGTCTTGTTGACAAAAGACTGAATGGATCGTTGGCTGAATGTTAAGCTGCTGGTTATAGCTGGTTATTGACCCACAGTGGTTTGATTTGAGATGAAGCAATTGCTCTCCTGTTTTCTCTCTCTCTCTTACTCTGAACTCTGTCTGTCAGGAGTGTGATTATGAGCACGGAGAACTTTGGACCAAGCCTATATTGAACTAACACAATAAATGATTGCAGGATTGTTATTGTACGCCTGACTTCTATATCAGCTAGAGTACGAACAAATATAAATAAGAATCCATTTGGTGCATTGTGGGTTTTTTTTTTCTACTGTACAAATTTACTGTGTAAAAACAGCAAATACTGTACCGTACCTCGGAGAGCACTGCAGTCAGATAAAGGAGATGAAAGGAAATGGTGGAGAATGAACAAGTTTGCATGTGTTAACCTTTGTGTGGTACTAACAGCCTCTCTGATGTTTTTTTTATATTTATACAAGTTTAATGATCTTTTTAAAAACGTGGTTCCAAGAAAAGAGAAGAGACATTCATAATCTGGATTTGGGAAAGTTGAACTGTTGATTCAAGTGAACTACTGATAGAAAATGTACATAGTCTTAATCCTTGTGTAAACTTTCAGTGTTTCTTATCTCCATGCTTCTGCTGTTAGCACATCTGCTGAAAGGTTATGATAAAGTTGTGTGTATCCTTTGTCTGTTGGTGGGATTATTATCCATTCCATGAGTTTGTTATCTCTTCTTCAAAACGCTGTATGTGTCTGATAAGTGTTTGTGTACACAGCATGTTGGTAGCTGGCTCGCTCAGTGTGCCAAATACCAGTTTTCCATGTGGCATGCCAAGGCAGTGTCATAACCGCCCAGCCAATCCTCATTTCCTCATTCTTGTGTGCCTGAGGTCAATCCACAGTGAGAGTATTATGGTATTGTTCTCCAAACTCTGAGCCCGGGTCAGTGTGAGCTGTTCTTTTCTCCTGGTTTTCCACAGGTACCTAACAGTGGGTCTGCATTGTTCCTGCTCTCTCTCTGTGTGTGTGTGTGTGTGTGTGTGTGTGTGTGTGTGTGTGTTTGGTGTTGCTTAGTGTTTCATCATGTCCCCGCCTGAAAGGAGCTCGTCTGTCTGATCAGCGGTTTGCACTATGGCCTCCTCCTCCTCTAATGGAGAATTTGAGTTTTGGTTACACAAACATTAACCGATGCAGACTCGCTCAGCAGGCGGAAAACTTGTTCTCATTGGCTGGCTTTATCCGTAATGGGTGGAGTCCAAGAAGCAGTTGTTTAGAGGCCCAATTATGTTCGAGGATTTGGATAATAATGTCCTGTATTTGTCTTTTACTAAATATATTCTTTAAAAAGAGAGACGCCAACATGGAATGAGGCATCAAGCGCTGGATATGTAACCGTCCTGTCCTGTGTGCCACAGAGTGTGTTCCCTCATAACCATGAACACAAACATGGTAGTTTGTTTTGACTCAGACCCAGATGCACTGTACTGCTGCATTAAACACTCCCTAGAGCGCACGGCTCCTTTTTTTTTTTTTTTTAAAGACTAGGCTTACATCTTCAGTGAGACTTAGTGCTGCCTTCACGTGGATTCAGGCAGACGGTAGCTGGCCGACTGGATGAGAGCAAGATGAGGAAATTAGGTCAGGCAAAGATGCTAATATTTTTACGCTCTGGCATATTTTGCATGACCTACATGTAAATTTTCACATGAACGATGTTAACCCAACTTATCCTCATCATACTAATAATAATGCATTTTATTTATAACACACTTTTCTTTTGAAGCCAATCTCAAATTTTTAAAGATGAAAATAGGAGCATTAAAACAACAATTTAAAAGTAAACAAATAACAACAGGCAGAGTTGAAATTATGAGCACAGTCATTGCTATACTTAAAAACAAAAGTTCTACATTTACTGTCTCATAGTTCCTTAGTTCTAAGTGGAAGTTTGTATAATTATGGGTCTTTATTTTGGAAACCAAACAGGGCCATGGTTAATAGTTATTATTATTATATTATTACAGAAAGTATCTGTAACCGTAATGATAGGCTGGATTGACATTTTTTTTTTTTCAAGTTCAATCTTTTATTTTGGAAAGTAGCTCCGCCACACAAAGGGGATAATGCCATTCTATCTTTTTCTATCTAGATTTTTTATTTTATTTATTTTTAATTGTGACCTCAACGTTCGGAGGTAAATAAAACATTCATGTGAAGGAAAAGTTGGATGTGTTGAGCACAAAATGGACTGGAAAGATCCTGTAACCGCTGCAGCTTTGATTGTCGTGCGTCTGCCTTTTTTCAAGTGTTACTTTGTAATAACTGCATATTTTTTAAACATTTATTTTCTCTGAAACAAAGTCAAATGAATGAACTCTGTAAAAAGATGGAACATGTACTAGAGACGTTCTGATCCCATTTTCCTCTATTCTTCAATTGAAATGTTTATTTGGTGTTTAATGTTTCTGGCATTTTGTTAGTTTGGACTATTCTGACCTGAAATGTTTGTTTTTTAGTTTGTTTGTTTGGAGCTGATTGGTTATTGTATCACAAAGGTACATCGACTGGCTTACAGGCTTATAGTCAGTACCACATTTTTGACAGTATCTTTAAGTCATTGCAGTATTGGATTTGTATTGCACCAACTCTGACGGATTTTAAGAAATTCACTGTATTCTAAATGTAGTTACTGCTGTCAGCCTTCAGAACTGCAGCGTTTCATTTGCCCTTTTGATTGAGCTTTACCTTAAACTTTAAGATGATACTTACCGCTGATAAATATTCAAACTGAACTCAGGTCTGTTTATTCAAAGTCCTAATTTGCCATAGTTTCTCATTTCCTGCCAAATCCTCATTTCTTTTTCTCTATTTAACAGTTGTGTTTTATTTATCCACAAATCTTTGATGCAGCCTGTGATAGAGGCGTATAGTACAGAACTGTAAGGACAAATGCGAGTTGCTTATCATCCTCATACATTCTACAAATATTACATGAATCCTGTGCCCCTCCCTACAGGTAAAATTCAACCTTTATCTGCTGCATTAAAGCGTGTGCTTATGCTATTTTTAATGCTGATTGTTGTCTTTCTTGGGAAATGATTTGTCCTACATTTCTGGCAGCTGAAGAAGCTTGTTTTTCATGTTGAATAGCAGTAAATAGATTTATTTATAGCAAAAACTAGCCAGCAAATGTACAAAACGAAAGCCTGTTTTTTTTTTTTTTTTGGCTGAACTGATTAAAAAAGAGCTCTGATCTTATCAGTATTTCACTTCATGAACACAGATAAAAGGGAAATGCACATTTCAGTAAATAAACTAAACAAAAGTGAACATCATCTATTACCTTTTTGAAAAGTGGCCAGTTGAAATGTTTTAAAGGTTTTTATTATGAACATAGAGACGCATTTCAATCTGGTCTTTTATAAGCTGCTTCTCACCTGATGACATTTCACCAAAGGAATAATAATAAGAAACAGAAGCAGTTTTTGGCCACAGCTTTCCTTGAGTGCAGGTTTTTTTTTTTTTTTTTTTGCATGATCTGCTGCTCTTCATTGTTATGAAGTTCTATCGGTATGGTCACTACGTTGAGCTTGCATCCATGGAGCCTGGGTCTGTGTCTGAACTGTCAATTCTGCCATTATTTGTACTTACTCAGTAACTTGTCTTATTCTACCTCTATCTATTCATTTATGGGTTTGCTCTTTTTAGTTGCAGACCTTTGATTCCATGATTATATTTTCTATCATATATTTGCTGTGATTTTCTTCACGATAGTTAAATCAATGAATGGCATCATTCTACAGTGTGACATCATTGCTTGGTCTATGACCTCGGTCTCCACTATTACAACTATCTCTTCCATTTGTTTGTAAAGTAACCACGTGAAGCACTCTGTACTGTGAAGCGGAGGTTTTGTAGTAGACTGTGTGCTTGAGTTCTTTGGTATTAGATTTATTGCCACTGATCCTTTTTTAAGCACCTCTTGGCCTACAGGTGTGCAGAATTGTTTCTTTTTGACGTCAGCAGGGCTCACCGCTTACTGCACTAACACCATGAATTGACGGCAAGTGAGCTCTTTCTGGGTCTGGCAGGAAAAAAAAAGTCTGGTGAACTTATGCGTGCACATGTGTAGCTCTGCAAGTTTTGCATATGTGAAAACGCCATATCTGACTCTGCATACTGCAGCTATTCCTAACCACTACCTCTGTGCTAAAAATGTCAAACGCTTTAATATTTTGTGTATGGTTATAATTAACCTTTTGGCCTTTTGTCTGACTTTTCTCTTCAGGCTGGGAGGCTGAGAGCTTCAGGGCTGCGACATGTGAACAGAGCTCCACCCCTTCACCCTGTCATCTCTCAACCTTAGGTAAATTAAACCCTCCTCTTATTCTTCTGCCTCCTCTTTGTTTCATATCCGTATTAAATTCAGAACTTTAATTTTTAGAACTCAAGAACTCACTTGAGCTGACGTTGTGACCGTGACCTGCCACCCTACTGCCTCGGGCATGCCTCAGGTAAAGTAGGAATGCCGCAGAGTTTTTTTTTTTCAATCCATCACCTGTGAATGATGCTCCTCAATGTTTGCCTCTCACACTTTATTTTTGTGTGTGTTGCCTCCCTCTCAGCCGGGTATGAATGGCATGGAGCCTGCGTTTGGAGAGGCCTACGGGGGACACAGGGGTCTGCTGAGCCCCTATCCCCTGGCCATGTCGCCACAAGGGGGCAGAACAGAGTACGACCAGGTGAGTCGACACGCATCTCACAAGTCCCATAGCTCATTTTCCCTGCTTTCCAAATTAAAACAAACTATTTAGTTTTCCATTGCTCTCAGTTTCAATCTTCCGTTGCAGATAATTGTAAACAGAATAGCAAAGCATGACTTGCGTAATCCAATATTTGTATGGACATTTTTCTAATTCATACATATTATACCTGTAATATAACTATGTCAGCTGCCCAATTGATCAGTCAAGCTATACTTAAGACTTTCAAAGAATCTGAAATCTTCGACTTTCATGACTTGTTATTCTGACCCTTAAACACAGGTTACAACTTGCACTTTCATTTCTACAATTTCCTCTACTGAACACCATTAGCTCAGAGTAGGGTTGTCAGGATACCAGAATTTGATGTTCACTATGGCACTAGGAAAACACAAACAATATCTGTTTCGATACCATGGCAACAAAAGTAAACAATGTGAACAGTGCTTGTACAAAAAATATCTACAAATGGTAAATGGACTTGAGCTTGTATAGCGCTTTTTCTAGTCTTATCACTACTCAAAGCGCTTGTACACCCCATGTCACACCTACCCATTCACACAGCGATGGCAGAGTGTAAAGTGTCCATCAGAAGTAACTAATCCCATTCATACACATGCCGCCGCATGAGCAACAGCAGGAGCAACTTGGGGTTAAATTTCATGCCCAAGAACACATTGGACATGTTGCTGCAGGAGCTGGGGATCAAACCCACAACCTTCTGGTTGAGAGACAACCGACTCTACCAAGTGAGCCACAGCCACCCCCAATCTGACATACTGTCTTAACAGTTACAAAAAGCGGGTGTTGGTTTTAGCTTAGTTAATAGAAAACGCTCCTCAAGAAAAGAGGCTACAGTCCTCGTCACACTAATTGCAGGTTCAACTCCCAGAACCAAAGCTATTTTGTGCATGTCGTCCCCCTGCTCTCTCTTCTTACATTTTCTGCCTCTCTCAAGTTGTCTTATCAATTAAAGGCAAAAAGTAACTAAAGGTATAATAAGTGTAATGTCATCCTGTTTTAAAATACCTTTTCTCAGTTATCATACTCCAAAAGAAGTGTTTGTATCAGCACTGACCATGCCCTGCCTTTATAATCAGATTTTGTTAGGTTGCTGTGTTTTGGGTCATTTCTGTGAGTGTCAATCATTGTTTCAGCTCACAGCCAACACTACGTGGGTCTAGACTGGAATAAAACACAGTGACAAGATGACTTCACTGTCTTTCTCCTCTGCTCTCTCTCTGTATTGCGACAGATGCAAACGTAACTTGTGCATCTGTATGAGACGCGAAGAGACATGACTAAACATTTGTATTTGCCGACATGTGATTTTGGTCAGTCTGTGTTGCTCTATAGGAGCCACAGGTCTGACAGAGGGCGGACAGAGAAACACACAGCATGCAGGATAAGGCTGGACTGCATACAAAGAAAATCTCCCCAGTTCATTAGAGTGTCAATGCTGCAAAAGAATTTGAAAATGACATCTTATTCTCCAGTTTCACACTTTGTTTATGTAAGCAGCGCCTTCTGTCTTTTCTTCCACTCTTGGTCACTTGACCCCAGCTGCTCTTTCTCTTTGGTTTGTGCCAGCTTTGCCTTGATACTGTAACTCTTCTTCTTATTATTGAAGAGAGACATTCAAAAAGGGCCATCTGAGTGTGTCTGTGGAGATAATCAGATTATTAATAATACTAATTCTAAAATCTATAGGCCTACCTGTGAAGATAACGTGATTATCCTGCAGTTTTTTCATGTTTAAATAAAACTCATGAAGCGAACAGGCTGCAGGGAATGATGAGTTTAATAATAAACAGCAGGCAGATATTTTATCACTGAACTCCCTCTGTATATATTATTTATATATATATATATGTATGTGATGCAGAAGTGTACAGTATATCTCTATCTTATAGAGCGTACTCCTCATGCTGGGCTCCCCAGCATCACCACGGAAACGGCCCTTTGAGTTGCTAAGCGACCTGGTGGATGATGGCGGCTTTGGTGAGGACCTGCACCCAGAGCGCTGGGATGTATCCGCGCTGGACGAGATGGCTCGCTACACCAAACTGGGCCTCGGGATGGGAGGGGAGCTGCTGGCCTGCTCCGAGGAGGCAGTCCTGATTGGCCGCTGGGGGAGGAGTGGGGAGGAGCAGCAGCAGCAGCTGCAGCAGGAGCAGGAAGAGGAGAGGAGGAAGAGGGACGGACACACCACACCCACTCCTGTCGACCAAGATGTCCAGGCTGTAAGGAGGGAGGAGGCGGGGCGTATCTCTGTTTCCACGACAACAGAGAGTGAGCTATGTGTTGCAGGAAGTGGAGGGCAGGATGAGAGGTTGTCGAAGGAGCGTACAGTGGAGGTGTATCAGGTGGAGCAGCAGGAGGAAGAGGAGGCGGCATTGGCATCAGCTGCAGGTTTGTCTCTGGAGCACTGCAGCGAGGAGCACAACTACTCCCTCAGCAAGGAGGAGGAGTTAGGGGCCGGGGCCGGACACACCTCGCCAAAAGAGGAGGTGCAAGCTGTGGAGACGCAGCAGGAGGTGCCGGGAAAAGAAGAGTGCCAGGCTAAGACTGAGCAGGATCTTGAGGAAGAGGAGGAGCAGGAAGAAGAGGAAGAGGGGGAGGAGGAGGAAGATGAGGAAGATGAGGATGAAGGAGAGGAAACTGCAGTGGAGGCTGAGCTCTCCAGTTCCTCGGAGACCGAATGTGGTGAGTTCTTTCAGATGGTCTGTATGAGTGTGTTTTGAGATTGTGTGAAATGTCTCTTAATGTCATCAAATACTGTCTGTAACCAGAGAGTGTTTTCATATTTGAAAGTTGACAGTTTCAGTCCAACTTTTAAGCAGCATTCAGCTGGTGGCTTCTTAAAATACTCTTTTTGTCTTGGCTCACTTTCAGGCAGAAATGGCAGATGGCATTATGTTTTTTTTTTGCTGTTTGCCACATTCTTTTGAATGAAATCTTTACATCCAGGAATTTCTCATCAATCCTATGGCTCTCTAATGTGACCAAATACATTTTTCAGACTTGTTTTATCTCCATTAAAACTCTCATGTTTTATTGACAAATACCGTATTTATCAGATCAGTTAAACCTGCAACTTTTCTCATAGCTGATTAAATGTTGGCGCTATTTTAAAAACAATGTCAGAGGAATTATGTTTTAATGTTGTTTACCACATTTTTTAAAATGCAATATCCACATCGGTGGAATACCTTAAAAGTTGGCTCAAATATTTACATTGAAAACAAGATAACCTAAGTCAATATTTTTTGTCGAAGATCAAGGTCAATGCGACCTCCAACCACAACATTTTTGTGAACACAATTTTCCAGTAACACCTGGAGGGAATTTTACAACATCTGGTCGAAATCTTTATTTCATTATCTGTACCAGAAAATGTAACCATCGTGTGAAACGTGTGGACAATCTTTCCTGTATTACACCTCACGTGAACAGAGGTGTTTCAACCAACATTTAGAGTATAGTTCCCAAAAAAAAACAGGACTTGAGTGGACGCACTAAGTGTTGTGTCGCCGAGTGCATGCTCACAAAATGTATATTTTTGTAAAGCCTCATTGAACATTGCCTGTTTTGACCAACTTGAAGTATTAGGTAGTCTTCATGTTATTCAGTAACTACCTGTAACCACAATGCTCATTTGCCTTCGTTTGAGGATTCAAGTGTTACAATACAGATGGATGTTCTAACAGCTTCAAAAACACGCACACTGTTGCATTAAGTTAATGCCTTGTTGACAAAAAACTTTTCTCTTGGCTCAGTATTTTGTTTTTTCCCATTTATCTGTTTTTGATAAATACTGTAGTTACGGTACTTGTGAGAAGGATCTACTGATGATCACATACTTTTCAAAGAAACAGAGAGATTGAGAGAGACATCCTTATTGTGGTTGAACCTCTCCCTTTTAGTGTGGTTAGGCCATCTTGTCCTGCCATTTTTGATTTTCATATTTGGTCCCAGCCACAGTAACACCGTTACCCTCCTGTGAGAATAACTGATGTACATACTGCATCTCAACTGGCCCGAGGAAGCAAACAACGTTAAGGTGGTAAATCCTTGTTCAAGGTCCTCACATTTTTGTTTTTGTTTCATTTCACAGCACACTGATTATCTACTGGTGTGCTATGGGACAAAAGAAGTCATTGAAGTTGTCACCTTGGTTATCCAGAATGATTATTATTTCTTTGGTATTTAAACTTTGTCAGATAAATATATAATGTAAATAACCATTACTGTGCTATGTCTGTGTTATCATCCTTTAACCTTCTTTCTGTGCACTCACACACTGGGAGGATGAAGTTAACTGTCACATAAAACCTTTTTATTTCTATGTGAGGATGGAACGTCAAACCCAGATGAGAAACTCAATAATAGACTGCTTCCTTACTTATCGACTAAAAGCTAATACACCCGCACTTGCTCCGTGTTAATGTGGATGTTAAGTCCTCAGATCAGAATCAAACATTACGTTGTGTTTCTGACAACCTGGAAAAAGTTGACCTTTTACAATCATATTTTTCTATTTTATTTAGCTAGAAATGTATCCAAACTTAACCCCTTTAACTTCTCAAAATATTTCTGTTGAGTTTCTCTGCCAGAATTTGATTTTCTTGGGAGTTTTGGCAAAATCAAAATACAAAATCGTTTCTATATTTCAGCTAGCTCGGTTGCAGCTGGGCTAGAGTCCAAGTATTTCCTCAAGGCTTCACAGTCCTGTGATAAGTCTTTTTTAAGTGTTTGCGTTCAAACCGAGGAATAAAGTAGTACTGGCAGTTTAAATAATAATAACCACCTACTGTCCACATTGTTATTGTGGATGTTAAGAGCAGAGTAACTGAATGCTTTACTTCTGTGTTCTGGTGTATTTTATGAACCAGTTTGTCATGTCCTTGTTTTAAGAGGATAACTTCTTTCGTTTTTAATGTCAGGCTCTTCCTGCATGTATGTAAAATGTTAGCCGTACAGTCTTGCTGATTTAAATCTTTCACATTGTTGTCTGATCAACATGAAAGACATAGACACAGGTTTTCTTCAGCTGTACTCTCACATTCCAGATTTACAAATGATCCATATTTCTATTCTAGTCTGTTGGGGCCCTAGGCAAAAATTCACAGGGGGCCCCTCCAACCAGCATTCATAACCATTATGTCATAAATGATCTGACATAGACTAAAATAGCATAATATGAACTTTAAAAAAGGTTTTTACAGATTTGTATACATTAGCATTATTTTCAAAACATAGATCTAAAGGACAGTAAAACCTCTCTGTCCACTTTCATTGACAAACGTAGGTTTTCAGAGCAGTAATGCATGCAGCAAGAGTGAGTGCTGTGAGATCGGGCCAGCTTAGGGGGATCCTACTGTCAATGAGCCACTGCTGTGACTGTGTCAGACCTGGGGGGCCCCCTACTGGCCTGGGGCCCCAAGCGGTTGCCTGCCTTGCCTGTTGACAAGCAGCAGCCCTGAAGGGGGATTGACTTTCTAAATTTAAAAATGCCTTTTTCCAAACCATCCTCGGGATAGGAAGCGGTTAATTTGACCTGTTGAACGAATCCTGACTTTATAACCTTGACGTCTTCGTCCTTGTCTCTCTCTCTTTGCTTCAGGAACTCAAATCAAAAATAAATCACTGGAGTGTCCCTTTTTTAAATGTAGTTTTAAGATGTTCTGATGAAAAAAGGGAAAAATACTCATTTAAAGGCTTGCGGGGGTTGTATACATTTCTTTTGGATGTATTCATCAGAACATGAATGTTGACTGTTGATGTCGGCTCTGACCATCACATCAGAGCTTAAATGTCCGTGGGGACTTCATGTCCAGACCAAAGTAAATAATGTATGATAAATACATGTAAACAGACGTCACATCAGTTCGGCTCTGTCTGCCTCTGATCAGCCCCGTTAGATAAACAAATCTCAGGCGTCTTTTTGTAAGGTAACAAAGAGGTTGCTGGCTCGCTCTCAAAGACCGGACTGGGTCACATTTCAACAGTCGGAAGACATCGATGTCTCTCTCTATTGTTGTAGCTATTGTTGTGTGTGTGTTTCCCTGGACGAGCTATTACATTAAGCACATTCCAATTGAAGAAAGTGTGTGTTTGTGGGTTTAACAATTCAAAAAGAGCCACGGAGCAAAAGACGGAGTCGAGGGGAGGGTGCAGACAATGGTGTCTGCTGCATACTTGACCAGACGTCATATCGTTACACAAGCCCCGTGTGACGGTGTGTGTGTGTGTGTGTGTGTGTGTGTGTGTGGTTTTGTGTAAAACGAGGGCAGCCCTAGTAGAGGACTTCGTGGTTGTTTACTCTAAGTCCGATGAAATCCCCCTTTTATTTTCCTTATTGCCATCGTATGTTTTTGTTCTTCAGCCCTGGTGAATGTTGCAGAGCCGTCTAGTCTCTGCTCCTGCAGCGGAAGCTTTCCACGTTGTATTATTGATGATGCCATAATTCACGGCTTCTGCACGGCTGAGGCTAATCTTTAGTGACAGGTTCGTCTCTGGTGTAGGTGTCTGCTTGTGAAGCAGCATACATGCATGCAGTTTAAGATGATGGTGGTTTTGTCATATGGACATAAAGGTTTTGTTTGTGGATTAAGGTTCACAGCGTGCGTTCATATCTGCAAACGTAAACATGAAAACCTGTCAGTTATAATTATGTTCCATCCGTTGTGTTATCATGCAGGGCATTTCTCTTTTATTAAATACATTTATATGTGGCTGTCAATGTTGTCCACCCACGGAATAGCTGTTGAGAGTTAAACACCGGAAATATTAATATAATGACCTCGATGAAATATTTGGATCATCGCCATGCTGACTCTGTCGAGGGCTCAAAGCTTAAGGGATTCTGATGCAACAACGGCATCAGATTTCATTTCATTTATTATTCTGCCATGCTGAGAAACATTTTGGAAAAACGATAGATACAAGAAAACAAAAGGTTGTTTTTTTTTATAGCTAGAACTTATCATTTTACCAGCGGTCAAATCGGGCAATGTTTACAAATTTGCAACATTAAAGATTTTTTGAAGGAATCCAAATCACTCCCTCAACTCCAGGAATCAGTCTAATACTTTCTCAGGGTTACAGAAAAAAATCATTGAACCTCTAGAGTGGGGCCAACTTTGTCATGTCAAGAAAAAGGACACTATTAATTTGTGTTATGAAGACATTATGACTGAAACAGTCTCTTTTATCCATGTCAGTTCTTGGCTTGCGTTCAAAGCATTAGTTGCAGATGAAACTAAAAGTTTCACCAGAGTGAGAAACTGTAATCTCTGGAATCTGAGCGAGATGTTATGAAATGTGTTTTCATCACAGGTCAGTCAGAGTTGAAACACACTCTTTGACGGCTCAGCGGCTCGCTCCTCTCCGTGTAGTGATTTGTGTTTGAGTGCAGTGTGCGTCGCATTGAAACGGAAACAGACAATAAGATCAGACGTGATAAGAGAAACAGAGCAGAAGAGAAATAGTCATTTTCAAACTGCTGACAGTAAATACTTTCTGTGGTCGACTTTCACCCGAGTGATGTATCTCTTGCGGGCCGACATCAGACAGAAATATCTCAACCACTATTTAATAGATCAGCGTGGAACTTGAAGAAGAAATTCACAGAGAAGGAATTCTTTTAATGTTTTTCACCCTCAGTACTTTTCTAGACATTTTTGATGCATTTTGTTTCTTGTCTTACGTTCAAACACTTTCCTGCCCAACACCCTGTAACTCCACCTTTTTCTGGCTCCACATTTAAATCGTTGTGTAGATCAGTGGTTCTCAACTCTTCTAGCATCAGGACCCATCACCAACACCTTCCTGAAAATCATGACCCAAATGTCTGATATTTGTCAACCAATTTGATTAATTTAATGTAAAATTGTGCAGTTTTTGCAGTTTGCAGCTACCATCAATTTTTTTTTTTCTTCAGACGATGCAAAACAGGAGCAATAAACTGAACACAGCAAACATGCTTAAGAAAGCGCTTGACAAATTGTTTGAGACCAGGTTTTTTTCCAGGCACATGCTTGCGACCCACTGAAAACAGATCTGTGACCCACCAGTTGAGAATCACTGGTGTAAATCATATTTTGATGGCTTGTAAGGATTATTGTACCTGAAACCCACCCCCAGGGCGAGTCCTTTCATTTAAGTAAATATCACAACTCAATATTATTTTCACAGATAATACAGATGCTCAATTCAAACTGCAAGTGCATTCAATATTTAAAAATCTATAAAGTGTTGAAGTTTAATAATTGAATGACCCTGCAATGCATTAGGATAACTTTGTCTGCATCCAAGATGTATCGTTTATGTATTTTTGTTTATAACAAAATAAAAAATGACAAATGAACTCTGTTATCTGTTTGACCTTGAGGGAAAATCTCTTTGCTGTTAAAAAAGTATCCTCCAGTGGTTGCCTTTCTGTGCAGCCTTTTACTGAGTGACCCCAATGAACTCATCATCCATTTAATATTTGCTTTTGTTGTCTGTGCGTCTTTTGCACGTTTTATATAAACTGTTGTAATGCATTTGTGTTGTAATGTAGTAGTATATGTCTGATCATGTAGCATTTTTTCCCTTTGTTGTTCTCAGAGTGTAAACATAATTTATCAGCAATCTTCTCATCATGAAAATCTAGTCCACTACACTGAAGTCGTGGAAAGAAAGCTTCCAATTACTTTGCATGTTTGTGTTTAAGCATTGTCATTACTATACTTGCATTAGTTCTCAAACTAAAGATTCTGCTGCATGGTGTGTGGATCTGTTTCCCTGCAGAGGCGGAGGCCGAGCCGGTGAGGCAGTCAGGCGAGCGCCCGTCGAAGCGTCGATGTTTCTGGGAGTACAGGCGTGCTCGAGAGTCGGTCACAAAGAAGAAACTGGGCGGAGACGTGCACTGGTCTCTGTCCTGGAGCTCGAGCACTCTGCCCAGCACCCTGTACCGCAGAGAGGGTGAGAGGACTACTGCTTTATCACTATCTTAGTGATTAAACATGACTTTATTGTCTATGGTTGTAAAAACATGTAATCAGAAAGATAGATGAGAAGGTATTGTCACCTTTGAACAGAAAGAGGTGGAGCTGGAATTCAAGGTCTAAAGATCTGCTGGTTGGCAAAGCATCAGAAGTCATTGAAACGATACAAAGAAGCTGAAGTGTCCCATTTATTTTCTGTCATGTGGCACACATCACGACCCTCCGGCATCTGCCCTACATACAACTTTCATGTCAAATTCTTTCTTGATTAGTGAATCTTATGTCAGGCACAACTGTAGCTTTGCAGCAGTTTTGCAGAAAACAGAACAACAATATTGTACAGCACACCAGCATCACACAGCTGCTTCCTCATAAATGAACGTTTGACATACTTGCGCACTCTGAAACGGATTATTCTAACATTTCATTGATGCAACTTTTTGGATGGCATTGTTGTGGCTGCACGATTTCACCAAATACAACGATATACCAGTCGTCTCTTTCTTCTATTTACAAACATTTCTTGATGACAAATCGTGGTTTATGTTTGGGGACCTTGGCAAGAATTTTAAACCCAGGCTTTATTTTGGCATGTTTTGGCATGTTTTGACGTATAAGCTCAAAAGTTTAGGAAATGACGTTAGCCAGCTTACTTAAACAAGCTATAATGGATGTAATGTAATACCTGTTTGGAAAATGCTCTGGCTTGAAGTGCATTCACTAAGCATTCTTGTTTTTGTGCTCACCGGTTCAGGATGTTTTTTGACTAAATTAAAAAAGCATTGCTACAGAGACTGAAATAGTTTTGTCTTAAGGCAAATGTTTTTATTTTTTTTATTTTATTTTTTACCACAGACAGCCTGTACATCCCGCTGTTCAAATACACCAGACTCCATTGACAAACACTGTAACTCAACCTGACAGAACAAGGATATGCTTGCTCACTGCTGGCTCTATCACTGTGTTCGTCTGAACACTGTGTCACTTTGGGCTTTTAAATGATGACTTCAGTTCTTCACAGTTTTTTCTTAACACATAACAGCACAACAAAAACAAGATGATCAACATTTTGACAAACTGACCCCCCCCCCCCCATGATGATGAAGGATGCATCAGTCTGCTGATCACATGTTGTGGTGGGGGGGGGGGGGTGAGCCAAACAGATCACGGATCAAATGTGATCACCTCTTCTCCTTTCTGTATTGTTATGATTAGAAACTGAGAAAGGAAACCGAGCCTGTCTGTGGTATAAGAAAAACACTTTGCATTGCAAGAATATGTTACAGCATTAACAATTTTCAGCTTCAGGGGGGAAGCACTCAACACTAGCAGTTCCAATAATGTTGTTCCTTTTATTAAAAAACATAAGGCACCAGATTTAGAAATACTACTAAACAAAGCTGATTGGTCCAAACAGTGTTTCCCTGCACAGCAGAATATTTACAGAGAGCACTGATGGGACTATTGGAGTTTAGATATTTTTTCTGTTGTCCTTGTTCCAGGCAAAAAAGGACGCCGCAAAGCTCGAAAGACGGACGCCAGCGACTTGACACCGAACCCGCAGAAGCTTCACAACATCGGTGAGCAGCTGCAGAAGCTCAACGCTGCCATCGACGGCATGGGTCCAGTCAACGACCTGCCCGCCATGGCCCGAGCTCGATCCCGTAAGGAGAAGAACAAGCTGGCCTCCAGGTACCCGACTCCACTTTACTGTCCTCCTACGTCTTCTTCACGAAGCCAGCGCCTCAGAGGCTTCCTTTATCGATTGCATGAGTGGGCATTTAGAGGGGTTTTTTTTGTTTGCATTGCATCAAGTGTTGTATAGTAGAATCAAATCCTGCGGGGCTCTATGGGTTTGAATCTTCAGTCTTTAGCCTTGTTTAGATCACTTCACAAGTACTGTGTGTGATGCTTTTAAAAAGTTGACCTTCGAGGAGGTTACAGAGAGGCTCCGATACATAGAGTACTATTCATCTTGAATTTGAAGCATGGTTGGTCTGAAGTAAGGGAAAACGCTCTTAAATCCAATGTCTCACATTTTTCTGTGAGAGTGTTTGGAAGCATCTCATTTCAACTCTTCCTCTCAGTGGAACACAGTGTACCCTTCTGAAGATGACCTTTAAAGTCCCAGCCTCTGAGAAACCTGCCACAAATAAGCTTTTATCTTCAATTTACATCCAAAGCTGTCCAACAGATATCCCTTAGGATGAAATACACCACACAGACGATTCTTAAAATGTAGGTCACGAGTGTGTTTTAGGGTTTATTGCTTCTTCTTCTTTTTTTAAATTTTTAAATTATTTAAATTACCTTTTAAAGATGAGTTTTCTGGAAAAAATGAAGGATAAATGAAAGGAAACGAGAAAGGAGATGAGATGGATGGAGCAGGATGAAAGGCTGAATAGGAGGAAATCAGGGCAGGATTTAGGAGGCAGACGAGGAGTTGGATGAGGAGGGTCATACAGAGTTCATCCGTGCAAGATGGAGAAAAAGTTGGAGGAAAGGACATTATTACATTGGATGTAAAGAGGAGGGGGACTCTGTATATCTTATTATTCCAAATACATGAAACATGACACAAACATTAGACGGACGTTTTAGTGGGAGGAGGTTATTAAATAGATGGAAAGTATGGTGTACTTTTCCTCCTCCTGTAATGTGACTGAGTTCATGGTTTCATTTAATATGCAGGAATTTCAGCTGCGAAGAGTCACATCTTTTTTTTTTCGGTCACACTTGTGGCCGCCTGAGAAGAGGTCACAGTTAGCAGCGGGATTATCATAACGTTCCAGTCGCTCTCATTCCTTTCTCAATCTCGTTAAAAAACAATTGACCCAGGGCGCTCAGGTGATGTGGAGGAAAAGGATTTGCCTGAATACTCTGACGAAGAACAGTTAGATCGGGGAAGATTTCCTGTCCATGTGACTAGACAACCTTAAAAATAAAAAAATATATACTGGGAGTTATATCAGGAGAGGGGATATCAGATAGTGTCTGTGTGTGCTGTACAAAAACATACTTAAACATATTTTAGCTTAGCTTTAAGTTTAAATGCAGAAAGAAATTCTTAAGATTTAATCAGCCACCAATGAAACTAAACAGTGTTTTCTTCCAAAGCATTTAGAGCACAGATGAAGATGATAAATGGCTCCAAAAGCTGCGCCATTTTCCGGCCTCTCCACGTCAAATTAAAGTCGTCTCAAAAAGCCAATGTTGTATAATATATGTTAGCGGTATTGAACACTTCTCCTGCGTGGTCCCTTGATGGTCCAAGAGTTAAATATCTCTGCATCTTCAAAAGAAGCTTGAAAACCCACAAATAACCTCTAAACTACCACTCCTCTTCCAAGAATAATAACGACCACAACATGCTCTTTCTTTCCTTTGTCTCTTGATCCTTCTGAGGCTTTTTCCATGCTGTGGAATAAAGCCTCTGCAAAATACACAAATGGGAATTTAAAAGTATATTGTGCATTAAACATAACAATAAAACATCTTTAGGACTTAAATTAGCACTTAACTTGTGCACTGGAACTTTTTTTTCTTCTTCTGACCAACAGTGACTGCACACGTTCACTTACATCAGTTCCAACAGTGCCAGGGCCGAGGAAGTGTACTGTGCTTGAGCATGGTACGGAGCACTCGTACTATTTAAACAAACTGGACTCTGTTGGTCAAACGTGCTTGGGCAGGGTACAGATTGCCTAGTGAGAGTGCGTCACAAGGGGCCGGGTAATTACTTAATGGAGTTTCCATGATCTACACATTTGCCTTAGAGGCTGAAATATAGACATGACTTTGTGTTTTTTTTATGTCTGATTACCAACAATCTTGACAAAAATGTAAAAATATCTCTATCAGCTTTGACATATTATCTAAATATTTAATATCCTGCCCTACTTTGGTTTTAAATGTTCCACAGAAGAAACTCAGTATGGTTTCGAGTCAGTCACAAGAGGGGACTTGATGTTGGCAGAAATATGACTGTTATTGAAAGTACGAATAGGTGTCAGTGATTTCCCCACCTGTCGGTCTAAACTCTTGTCCAAAGCAAAATGTTTGACTTTTTTTAACCTTTAAACTGAACGAATTCAGTCGTCTGTCAGCGACCTCCCAGCTGACGCTTTAAATAGCCTCTTTAATGATGTCCCCGTGCAACATGACAGTGACACTGCTGTGCCCATTCTGACTCATCCTTTCCCTTAAGACACATTTAGCTCTCAGCATGTGATTGGTTGTTAGGTTTCATTTAAGCAAGAGGTAGAAGGGACACCTGTGAAAATCCTAAAGACAACAAACAGCAGCCGTTTTCAAATCCTGAATTGGTGAATATGTTTATCCTGCCCTGCTGGAAGCCATTGTTTTTCTCTCCTTCAGCACGACAATTAAATCAATGCTTGGTTTAGGTGATCCATCACAACTGCTTTTAGGCTATTTTTGGTTCTGCATCGAGAGTGGGCGCTTTTTTCTAAACCTCTGCATTGATTTGGGAAATTGAGGGAAAGAAGGTGGAACATAAAACATTTTATTGTTGATTGGTTGGTAAATCCTTCCTAAACCAGCAAGGACTGTGTGCAAGTATATGAGATAATTCAAGGCTGAGAGGCAACTTTTCAACATGCAGAGAAACAAAGAAGACCATTCTGTCAAACACTGCTGGTCTGCAGGTGTGTTGTTTCCTAAAGTTTCCTTCAGCTGACTCACAGCCACAAGAAAATAGAAACTCTCTGCAGGCTAAAGAGAAAAGTACCCATGAGACACATTAGTACTTAACATGCATTGATTGATTCATTCCCTGCTGTCGTTTTTCAAACTCCAAAACACTGAAACACAAGCAGCTGTTTCTCTTCAGAGTCATGGAGTCCAGTGGTTACTGAAAAAGGCGATGGATGACGGGAGCCTTCCAGAAAGACATCCTCCACTCATCATTCTCCAGCATCTCTCAGTGTGAACGTGCGGGAACAGAAATAGGATCACATAGAGAGGAGCAATACGAGAAGAGAGTTTCCTCTTTCAGAGAATGACGGAGCTTTCTCTATCTCTGTTTCAGGGCCTGCAGGCTGAAGAAGAAGGCCCAGCATGAAGCCAACAAGATCAAGCTGTGGGGGCTCAACCAGGAATACGGTCAGTACTGCACATGTCTGAGTCCTGTTTGGAGGATTTTTTATCTCTTTACTCCAACTGAAGAATAACATCTCTCCCACTGGTTGAGACATCTGGCCTTTATTTAAAAACTGGTTTAGATTGAATTCGATAAACTTAAAGATGCAGTGTCTGACTTCAAATACAAGCTGCGACTTTTATGAAAATTAGTTGGTGTTAAGTTTGTGACAATGACAATTCACAAAACACGCTTTAGCTTTCCAGTCAATGTCCATACTTCATCTACTCAATTACCCATACTTTAAGAATCATTACCTTCTAATTCATATAACCAATCTAAGAGTGATGTTATGTAGTCTTACACATCTTATCAACGTTGTCAGAACTGTCATGCTTCACACCCGATCTCGTAACCTATCATTTCTAGTTCTAACCTATCATGGCTAAAAAGTGTGTCTCTACTTGTGCTGATAATTGCCATTGTAATTTGATTATGTGCAACAACAAAAACAAGCACATACCAAAGTCAGCCTGAAAACTGTGTTTAAAAAGACATGATCTAATGTGCTCGTATCATGCATCTACACACTCAGCACACAAACCTTTGATGTCTCAGATAGACTCCTCGATACACGGGCCATGCATTCACACTATTCAGCTTATCAGAGAGTCAGACGTCACATTAGCTAGCACGATGACTGAGGAAGAGGGACACATTCAAATCTGATTGGGAAAGACTTCATGTGAAAAATAATCACTTCTGCTGTTTGGAGTTATTTAGGATTTGGGAGAGATAATGTGTTTAAAATACTGTGACTGCAGTGTTCCCCCAAGGTTGGAGTTGTAGCAGCGGCGGTGAAGTGGAACAATGTTTTTCTAAAAATGATTTTCTTTAAAATAGTTATTAACATTTATTAGAAATTATAAACCAACAACCACCCTATTGTCATCACCTTAGATTTAGAAGTGGAAATCTAAATAATGTTCTATGTACTTGAGTGATTCTTTTTATTTTTACACTCATACAATCATTAAAGCTAAACTCTCATCAGAACCTAATCGCTCATTTCTGCTGTGGTTCTTATTTCTAATGCAGAAGATCAAATATAAATGAAGCAAAAACAGAGCTGAGAAACCATATTTTCAACATCATTTTAAAGATGCTCCGTTGAAGAACGCTGAATACCAAAAGATTGCAGGGAACACAGAAGTCTGAGAAGGGTGACTTCACCTCGTTCCAGATAATCAACACCTTTTCTCTGCCAAATCTGTCAGCTCTGTCCCGCCACCACCCTCCTCCTCCCTCTCCTCCTCCCTCTCCCTCTCCTCCTCCCTCTCCTCCTCCTCCTCCCTCTCCTCCTCCCTCTCCTCCTCCCTCTCCCTCTCCTCCTCCTCCTCCTCCCACTCCTCCTCCTCCCTCTCCTCCCTCTCGTCCTCCCTCTCCTCCTCCTCCCTCTCCTCCTCCTCCCTCTCCTCCTCTCCTCCTCCTCTCCTCCTCCTCCCTCTCCTCCTCCCCTCCTCCTCTCCTCCTCCTCCTCCTCCCTCTCCCTCTCCTCCTCCCCTCCTCCCTCTCCTCCTCCTCCTCCTCCCTCTCCTCCTCCTCCTCTTTGATTCAAACAGCAACCAATTTCCTTTTGAAATTTTTTTTTTTCATCCCATTTTCAACATTCCAGTCATTCCTCTGCCCGGCACAGTATTTCAGTGCGACGGCTTAAGTTGTGGCTCCGGCAATAAAAAAGAAAAGAAAAAAGTGTCCCACTGTCGGGAAGCCAAAACACATGGCGCTAAGCCGCACACATAAACTGAGCTTCCTCTCTCCCTCCTCTGACTCTTTCTTCTCTCTTTTTTTCATCCCTCCCATTCATTGCTCTCGCTCTTTGTCCTCTCTCTCTCTCTTTGTCCATCACTGTAATTTGCAGCTTCTAAAAACAAGCTTTAAATTCTAAGCGGCAGATTCAACAGGGAGCTTCAGACATGTAGGAGTTTGGTGCCAGGCCAGTGCTCTGAAACCTACTGAAGACTGCTACTAAAGACTAGTTTTATCACTGATTCTGTTGGGTCATATATCCTTCATACCAACACAAATCATAAAATGAAGTTTTAAATGTTACTATTATAACTCGTTTACCGTTTTGGGAGAAAAAGTCATGTTTTTATTCCATACTGTTCTTCCCTCAGAGAACCTGTTGGGAGCTCTGCTGCGCATCAAGGAGGTGATTCGACTGCGGGTGGAGAGCAGCGAGGAAGAAGACACGGATGAGCGAGGGATGACCCAACGCCTGGAAGACATCCTCCGAGAGTCCAGCGGTGAGAAACACAGACACTCCAAATCTTATTTATCATCCGCATCATTACTGCTTCCATCTGTTCAAAACATGGGTTAGGAGCTTCTTGTTAATATTAGCATGTTATTTATTCTCTAAAACTGAGCAGTTTGACTTTAGTATTACTTTATCTAACAATTAAAAAAAAAAACAATCTAGTGAGTAAACTTAGATTATTAGTATAAAAACTCCAAATATGTTCTGAATTGGTGTTCTTGGCATTTACTTTTTTTTCCTGAGGCTGTAGATTCTCATTTACAACGTAGGGTGTCCTCGACTGCTGATACAAATCACTGGCCGAGGGAAGAGCGGTATTTCTAAAATAATAATTAAGTTATAAAAACAAAAACAAAGAATGCAACATTACAATTCACTGAAAGACTCTTGTAAAGTTTGTGTGTCTATAGTCATGTCTGTTTTATAAAAGAAACCCTTATTGGAGAGATATTTCTCTCTTTATCTTCTCTCAATCACATGTTTAAAATGTGTTTTCATGACACTGCAGGACCTTTAGTCGCTGGGCGGACCAAAGACTTTGTGCAGAGGATTCTGGCAGCCAGCGCGGGGGGTCAGAACCAGCAAACCAGCAAAGACCCCCCGCAGGGAGGTGACGAGGTGGCGGGCTAAACCTCACCAAGTATCTCCCTACACCTTCTCCTACTTTGTCGTCCGCGCCTGCCCCTCCTCCCTGCACCACCAACAACACATGAGAGAGCAAGAGCAGGTGGATATGTTGGGAAAGAAGAAGAGGGGGAGAAAGAGGAGGACGAAGTAGCCTAAACAACATGGGAGTAAATTACCACCCTGCTCCTCCTGCTGGCCCTTCAAACAGCAGATGATCTTCACCGCTCTGTCTCTGCAGGCTGCAGCAAAACCACCAACTCCAACAGGCCAGAGCTGCTGCTGCTGCAGCTGCTGCTGCTGACGTCTATGTATTCTGTGTTCTGTCTATGTATGTGTTTGAGTGTGTGTGAATGTGTGCGTGTGTGTGTTGGACATGTAACATACTGTATGAGTGTGTATAGTGTTCCTCTCTCCCTCTGTGTGCTGTATTCGTATCCCAGTGTGCCTATGAATAGACATTGCACTGTTTTGTAGTTGGTCGTAGTTGCTGGCAGGGGACCTGTAGTGAGGCGAGGGCGAGGGGGCATTTGAGGATAGAGGAAGTGCTAAAATAAGGAAGTGGGAGGAGCCCAGGCCTGGAAGACAAAGACGCAGTTATATGTATGTGTGTGTTTTTTTTTATGTATACTTGGCTGGGCTCCTATAGAAGCACTGCATACCATTCTGATTGCATCGACATCTGAAATGTCAGTGAGTGTTGTGACATTTAAATATTGACGGAGTCCTGATGCCAGACCAGCTGTTGATGGAAACAACAGCCTGTTTGTTGTTGAAAAAAAGTCCCTTGAGCTTTAATACACTCCCCCTTGCTCGACCCCCTTCCCTTGAACTTTTTTTTACATCCCTTCAAAATGTAAGCAAAGTTAAAAATGAAAGAGAAAACTGCACCTTAAACCAAACTGACCAAAGATAAAGTGACACTGCTGAACCACTCGGACACCAAAACCTCTCACTCGCTTCAAATGCTGCCAACCATTAACAAGTCATTTTGTTTTGAGGGAAAAGTGACTGAATATTTTTTGTTTTTTACCTGCGTGCATCCTTCAAGGTTGACGTTTGCAGAATTCCCCTCACATTAATGCACTACTGCCCCGAGAGGCCTGAGAGTGGTGTGACAGACATGGGATGACTGATTCGCTCAGTCCTCTAGCTCTGCAGCCTGGTGCTCCTTTCAGCTTATCTTTAGTGGCTTTATTTCTACCCACGAAAAAAAAAAAAGGATGTGTCCTCAATGCCTTCCCAGAACCCTCTCCTCAACCCCCCTGACCTGATTATGTAGCGCACCTTTCTGAATTGCAATGACAAAAAAAAAGAGAGAGAAACACCTTTTTTAGGTTTAGAAAGCAAATAAGTTTGTATTTTTAAATGATTTTTGTTTTTTGAGGCGATGCCAGCGTCAGTTGTGAGAGTTTGAAATCTGCCTTTGTTCTTGTGGTCTTTGCCGAAGCTGTAGACCAATCTGTCCGTGGTCTCTAAATAATGGACATTAAAACAAGTCAAGGACCCGTTGAATTGCACTGTGGTAAAAAAAAAAGAAAAAAAGAAGAAGCTAAGAAGTACCTTCAATGGGCTTCAGATCGTCTGAAAGAGAGAAAAAAAAAAGACTCTTGGCACCTTCGTTTAGAGACAGATATTATTTGAGAGACTTGTTGTGCCCGCCTGGTGGTCTCAGTTTGTCTCTGTTTGGTGCTACTGGTTGTTGAGAAAATAAAAAGCAATGCAAACCTGAGCAGAGGCATCAGGCAGTAACTGCTGACTGGGTTCTGGCCTGTGAGCACGTACTTTTGTAATAGGCAGTTTGTTTGCATAATGACGCCTTTCTGAAGTGCCTGGAGCTTAAAGCCACCGGGACCTGTGTTATTATGCCTGATCTTGAACCCTATTACAAGTTAAAATGTAACCCATGACTACTGCTCCAAGATTAGCCTCACTTGACTTAACTTAGAGGACAAAAAAGTGCAGGCCTGTATTAGGTTCTTTCACAATCTAAGCCAAAAAAGTCAACCAAAATGTTTTCCTTCATATTAAAACCTATACATGGAAACAGTAGCTAACACCGGTTTCTGTGAACATCATCTCTGGGAATTATAGAAGTAGAGGAGCGGCTGTTAGCTAAGCAATCCCCCTTTTTTTTTGTTTTTCAACCTTGACAAGCTCCCGTCTGGGCTGCGTTCCAAAGCTGCTGCTCTAAAACATGCTGCTTCCCCTCCTATGGAAACTCCATTTCCTGTTTCAAGCAGGCGAGGATCAGTTAAACTTAAACTCTTCACCTCCTCAAGGTCTCATTCATGGTCATTTCAAAGCTGTGGACACCACTGTTGTATGGTGGTTTGTCTTGCTCCTGTATACGTTTCTGTTTCCTTCTGATTCTGGGAAATGTTGCTCATGGTAGTGTGAGCACTGAACTGTAATGTAAACAAGAAAAGAACTAGTTCAGCTGGAAAGGATTCATCTCAGTGTCCTGCTGCTGGAGACAGATAGTCTGTGGCTATGTGAGGGAAGATGCCTGATGCAGCTGCAAACGTCTTTGTTGTCAATGAGGCTTTTTAAACATCACCACAGAAACCTGCTCAGGATTTCATGCGATCGTTTTATGATACAGAAAATCAAAGGTGACCCAAGATAAGTTCCATTGGGGCAAGTAGAAGAAATCCACTTCACACTCTTGCCGCTGAGGAGAAGTGATTGATTCCTCCCTCCCTCTGCCCACTTTCTGTCGAGGCTTGGGAAGGCAGCGACGCTGCCAGCAGAGTCACAGGATCTCCCGCTGGCAGCTGCCTCCTTCTCATGCCCTTAGACAACAATAAAGACAAAGAGAGGGAGCAGCTGAAAACAAATATACATACCACTGGACTGTAGAACGATGTGCAGCAAAGGATGCACAGTATTATTGGCAATTGGTCCTATGTTAACATTTGTGCCCGTATGATAATCTGATAAACTGAACTTCAATTTAAACTACGACTATAGGAGTGTATATTCCAATAATCCAATGCTATTTATTTCAGATTTCTGACACAGAAAGTGGTGATACTCACAATCAAAATACAACATGAAATTGATATGGCATGCTTAACACATAGACTATATACAAGAAGTTGACAAAGCCACCTGATCACTGTTTAGAAGCCTTGAAGGTAAAATATGCTTTCAGAGTAAATGTCCTGTACTTTAGCAACAGACTAAAACTAAACGCTTTCCAAGCAGTCCCTCTTCTGACCCTTATGGCACCGTCTGAGGGACAGAGGATTGTTATAACTGAGTTTCGGATTTAGACAGTCGCCATAGTGACCATATTTGGACAAAAGCAAAAGCAAAGTTTATAAAGAATGAAACTAGTTCGATGTGAATCAGTTACTCGGAGTAACTTGAATTCTGAGGATAATTCTTGCTAGTAAAAGAAGCACATTTGAAAAAAAGAATGGACATACTTTAATGACGGGCGACTCAAAGAGTTTCTCAGTGTAACTGGATGCTCGACAATGTCTATCCTAAATGGGATCAAAATTAAAAATCATGCTGTATTAAAAAAAGTCCAAAATCCAGGAATTCAGACCATAAACTCATTTTAAAACATTGACAGTGATTACAAGAGAAGAATTCTTTTTTTCTAACACATCTTATACAGTCAGAATCATTTTTGCAACCTGTGGTGTCGCCCCCAGGTGGCAGGTGTATGACGGTTCTCGGCTCAACTTTAAAACTCGAGAGGCTACCTCCACTTCTTCTGTACAGTCTATGTTTAAACATGTAACCTACATTTGGGTATGCTGCTTCTTCTTTCTTTAGCAATTGAATGCGTACAACTCAAAAAGCAATTTACTGTACATTTGCATCTGCTCTTATAGGCCTTGACAAAAAGTCTCTGCATTAAAACTTGCTGATTTCACTAAAGGAGAGACGTGATGGGCTCTGCAGTTAGGTGGGAAGAAATGTATATATCAGATAAAATGAGATGTAAAATATGGTCATATCAGATCCTAAGTGGTGCATCTCTGTGTACAACCCGTCTGTCATGAGTGAGGATGAGGATTTTGGGGTTTTAGAAAGATTCCACTTTGAATACACAAGTTTTTTCCTGATGTTTGCCTCCTTCCTCCAGAGTGGTGTTGTGTAACTTAGAACTCCATCTGCTGTGTACATTCATCTATAAGCCAAAAACTGAAGAGAAATCTGTTGTAATGCAGTGAATTCCCAACACTGATCCAAACAACAAACAGGACATGATGCCGGATTTTACGCAACTAGTGAGCTCGTAAAAGGGCTTCTGACAACACTGTAGCATTATTTCTCTTTTTTCAAAACAACAACATGTTGACACTTTTGTATCATGGCATATCCCTTTAACTGTAAAGCTTTAATGGGGAGTGGCCACTTTTGGCAAGGCCGCTCGTCTCTGCTCACATTCCTGACTCAGTTTCCCCGAAAAGTCTCTGTTTATGCGTACCTTGAAGCAGCAGGGGAGATATGAGAGGGGGGAAGCTGAAATGACCCAAAGATGTCTCTGCTGATTGGTCACTCTGTAGCTGTTTCATGGTGGACTCTACAGCCTGAGTTGACTAAGGGACGACTGAGATTTAAAGAAAACAGAAATGATCTTCTTAGCCAGCTCTGACCTAATATGGACGATGACTTTGCATCAAGTGTGCAGTTCTTAACCGAATGACTTCCTCGTTGGGTGTCACCATCTGACAGAGAATATACAGTCCTGAAACATGTCTCATGTTCGTACATCTGGGCTCTTGCAGAGGAAGAGAAAGTCTGGGGACAGAAAGAGATGGATTAAACTTAGCTGTTGAGGAAACGGTGACAGCTTGAAACTTTTAGAGCACTTGACATGAAATAAACACAGAAGACATTCAGCTCAACAAGTTGCTTAAATGTCTGCTGTTAAATAGAAATGCAAATGAAGAAACCTTTTTTTTTTGCCAAATGAACTCAAATTAATAAGCAGCTGGCTGTGGGCTGTGAATAATGATCCCTTTATTTAGAGGGAGAATGTCTACATTTGGTTTTAGCTCTGATACGGTGTTCATCAAACAGGGCCCAGTGTTGCCAATATCCAATAATGCAATACAATTATTTAGTATCTGAAACAAAAGTTCAACATTCTCAGAAAATTGACTTAGGAAAGCAGTCAATAGGCCTAGCTTAGCATAAATACTGACAATTTGGAGCCAGGCATTTTTCAAGCGTAACAAAATCCAACTATAGCTAAAGTTAGATATTTTTTTCAAATTTAAACTTTGCAATTCATTGTAAAAGCACTTTTCCTGACATCCTGTCAGCAATAATTCAATGAAATTCTGCAAGTAAAGACCATTTTTGGGAGGGGTTGTCACAGGCCTTGAGGAAGCCTTAGCTAGCGATCTTTTTGCAAAAAAATGGCAGAAAAAGATAGTTACAGTCAGCGATGACAACTCTGTGCTGCTGGTCTCCTCAAAGTCTCGTTTGGACTCATCCTCCACAAAAAATGAGGTCAAGCTTGTCTACATATATTGGAGGAGTGGGCGTCTTTGGCATTTCCTTGGATACGTTCACAATTTGGCTTACTCCTGCTGATCTCTCCGAAGCTGCCTACCTAATCTTTCAGATGTTTATAGTTTGATTTGTTTAAGACATGACCTTTCTTAAGTGTTCACTGTTTCCCTGGAAACCAAACCGTGAGGTCACTGCTTCAGGACAGAGCAGGCTAGCTGTTTCTTTTTGCTTTCAACAAAGTTTTTTGTCTTTATGCTAAGCTAAGCTAAACTTCCCCTTGCATAAGAATGGTTTACATATCTCCGTCTAACTGATGGGAATCAGCAAACAGTTTATGTAAAAATATATAGTAAAATCCTTTTGAACGTTTTTAGACACTAACTCCAGATCTACTAAGGCAGAATGAACACAAGTGTTCTTCTTAAGCAACAAACAATTTGCAGAAATTTGCAGATACAAAATAAAGAAGTCAGGCTGAAGTTTAACACTTCATGGACTTTAGAATAAAAATTGGGCTGCGAGTGTGTTTTCAACATGCTTTCTTTAAACTTCACAAATAGATGTGAAACGACTTGGAAAGTTTTCTGCTTGAAGAACGTTTACCAAAAAAAGTTGTGAACCATGTGCTGCACTTTGAAACCTTCAGCATGGGCTATTAAGAGAAAATAGATGAACTGATTGTTATTGGCGTCCTGATTGGCTTGAGAGGTTTCACATTTTCAGCTGCCTGAGATAAATCCTGCATCTGTGCCAGAGCTGGCATGCTCCGCATAAGACATTCAAAGTCTAAAATAGTTGAGTAGGATGTATGGAGAAGGGAGGCTGTTGACTCCCCCTCCCTCTCCTCCTTCCACATGGAGGCGTTGTGGAGCAGCGGGGGTGAATTGACCCATCAGTAAGACTACACCGGTGGGACGTTGCTGACCTCCTGGTGGCCGTCCCCGCTCTGCTCCGGTGCTCACATTGTCAGAGACACTCGGGCGTCTCTGGTTTCAAAGGCGAAGGGCCCGCGGGTTAGTGAAGGCTGGTTGGGGGGTGGGGGGGGGGACAGCACTTAGCCTCGGAAAAGTTTACCCGAAACCTTTTAGTTCTCCTCCTCTGCCTTTCACACTTTGACAGCTGCAAAGGTGAAAGATGAGGAGGAGGTGGAACAGTAAGGTCTGCGTCTTGATGCTGCTTTATCACTAACCTGGAAACCTTCATCTGGGCCTCTTCCAGATGGAGAAGGTTTCATTGAAGACCTGCGGGTCCACATGAAGTTTGATCCATTGTAAAGCTGAGGTGTTGGATGCTGGCTTGAGCTAGCTCCAGTTTATACCCCTAATGTCTTATATCTGCAGAGCTAAGCTTCGGTCATTATGACACATAAATCTCTGGTGATCTTTCAAAAACGCCCTGAAAAATACAGTTTCATTTACCCACGTTTTGCATGAATAAACAACTGTATAACAAAAGGAAAGTTTGGATATTCTACATAAAGAAACCAAATTATTTTAATTTGTAAAAACACATTTAAATGGAAATGTTTTTTAAGGGTCTACTCGTTTTTCCTTCACTGTGACTTCAACGCTCAGTATTTTAAGTTTTTTTGTTTTTATAACACCAGAGATTTTAATCACTGACGCTTAGATCTGCAGCTGAAATGTAAAATGATCAATGAGTGACATCTGAGAGACACTCGCTGCTTCAACTAAAACAAAGTCAGTCGTTTCTGTCGATGTCAATGAGTCGGTTGTGGATGCGAGCGAGTGAAAAAGGACTCAAACTTGATGTCATGAATACTTTGATGTTCAACAGAGACATCCTGTGGTGTCACCACATCTTGAATGATGGGAGCAAAAAAGGAAAATCCAGAGACTAGAAAACATTCCACAATGCCATGTCATATACTGTACAGCAACCCTGAACTTCTCTTCTCCCCAGTTTCCTCCTCCCCCCCTCTCCGTCTGTCTCTCTGTAACCAGTAATCACAATACTACAGTAATACTTCGGACCTGTTAACACATTAACACATCTTTATGTACAACTCCGTCAGTAAGTAACCTTTAAGAAATAGTTCAAAAAAACGATACAAAAAAAAAAATACAAGAAGTGCCGTACAAATAGAAGCCTAATATTTTTGGTTTTGGTTTTGTGTGAGTGTATTGTACACCTGTATAATGTATATTTTAATATTTATATGCAGCTGTTGTATTAAAGTATATTTTTAAAATAATAAGAGGCTCTGTTCCTTTTCAGCTTGGAGTGTTTGGGGACATTTTTTTTCCTGCAGAAGGTAAAACTGATAATTGGAGATTAAAATAAGAAAAAAAAAAACTTTAATTGCTAATTATTTTCTGCAGCGTTTCAGTGTTAACTGTTAAGCAGTGTGATTCATTTAAGGTGTTGCTTTGTTCGCATCTCGCAACACCTGGTAGGAATAGAAAACGGAGTGATGCATTTCCACTGTGGGATAACAGTTGGTGCTTGAATGCTGCACAGCACCCCCTACAGGTCACACACACACACACCAATACTACTGAAGGGGTGAAGTTGAAGATATGTTCTTTAGAAGTTTTGGTGTGAAATAACAGTTTTGGTTTTACAGGCTGCAATGACACAGCAGATTCTGGCAACCTGAGCAGTCAAGAAATACACTCAAGACCCCCTATTTAAAGGGCCAGGCACCCAAATAAATCTGTTCTAGTGCCAAGATTTGTATTTACAGAGTGCTGAAAGAGCAAAAACCAAGTGCTTGACCCCTACAGTGATGGGAACCGGGGAGCTGAAAGATCCACTTGCAGGCTCCCTTGAAACACACACAAAGTTATTCTTAGTTAGTTACCACCTTAGTTACCCTAACAGGGACTTCCTTAAATCAACTTCATTAATGCCACCTTTATGCAAAGAGGCCACCCAAAGTAGTACACATAGCAAAACAGAAACACAGAAAGAAAAGACTATATACAATTTTCAATGACGAAAAAATTACATTTCAATAATAAAATGTAAAAAAATCAATCGATAGTGTTCTATACAAAATAATATAAAAGTAGACCACCCAACAGCTAAGAGGAATAAAAACAGGCACATCTCACTGACACTTAACGCAACACAAGAGGAACATTTCAAACTTGCTGGTAGAGGACTTTAGAGAACTATCTGAACTCTGATGTGGAATGGACTCATAACTAGAAGCATTGTGTCGAGTCAATAAAATGACACTTAAATGATGGTCATGGGTCGCAATTTATTGTCTTCTTGGTGGTATTCACCTTAATTTTAGTGTAATGATATCATGTTTTAAATGTTACCCAGACAATGTGTATATTTTGAAAAGCATTGTCTTTTCTGTCTGTACATTCAAGGGGGAACATACTTGTGCATTTATAAGCAATGAGTTGGTATAAGGGTAGATACAGAGTTTTCTGAATCTTGGACCAACAGTGCAAAATAACAATACTCTAAAGTACTCAGAAACAAACAAGAAACACTAAGTGATTGTAAGATAAAGAAGAAAAGAGAAACATTGTATCTCTGATGGGAGTGGTCTCTCCACAATGATAAGATCTCAACCCAGTTCACCACCATATGGTACATATTGAGCCAACCATCTCCACCACCACTAACTTCAAATGAAAATGTTCTGTCAAAATAAGCCTTTTTTTCATCTCTTAATTGGAGTCCAGAGACTTTAAGAATGAGTGCCCAGACTTATTGAAGCACGTGTTGGCCCAACACCTCACTGAGACACTTTACGTTCCTTTCATTTGTCAACCGGTCTGTATTTCTGGCTCAAGTATTTCTCACATCATTAAATTCACAAACCTCAGTGTGCACCGTTTTCTTTGGAGCCCCTTCCTAAGTGGAAAAATCCCTGTGGTGGCAGAAATCTGAAGGCAAGGCAGTTTATAGCAGCTCAGAAAAATCATTTCTAGTGTTACTCAGTTATTCGCACAAAGAGAGACAGAAGCAGCTGTGTGAAAAAGAAAAGTGGAGAAGTTGAGAGAGAAGTTGCTGTCTTTCTCACCTCAACAAAACACCCAGCATGAAGCGCCGTGTGAAGTGAATGTGAGTGCTGGATTGTTGGTTTTGGAAGCTGACAGACGCAGTCCTCTTTAATCTTGTGATAGAAATGTGTGTGTGTGTGTGTGTGTGTGTGTGTGTGTCAGTGTGTGACAAGCTCCTCACTTGAAGTATACAGATCAAATTAGAGATAATAAAAAAATCCCAAAACGTGGGCGGACGAAACCAAAACCATCTGCAAATCTTGACAGTTCAGGATGTAAGAAGAGGAAAATATGTTGTTTCATAATGAGTGTTGGATGACTCCTGAACATAATCTTTAATCTAAACCACCAATATACTCTGGAAACTATTTTTTCCTTCTTAAAATAATCTCAAGTATCACAAAATCTCCATCAGAAGATCATTTTAAATGTTCCAAATGTTTTTTTTCTGCATACTTAAGACCTTCTTATGTCTGGCCATGTTTGTGTTAAAACTTAAGTATAATCAAAGATTCCTGTAAATGGATGTTGTGGTGAGGTTGTCCTCTCTGAGATCAAATCAGTTTTAGACCATACATATTTTCTGTATTTTAAACTGTATATTAGAAGCCTTAAGTTTTTTTTTTTAGCTGGAAGTGATCATGTTCGGGTAAGAGGGTGGAGCTGCTTGAGAGAAACATTTCTTCTTTATTAACAAAAATAAAAATGTATGTTATTGTTTAAAACTAATCTGGCTATATGGACACATTCTAAATTACAGTTTAGAGTAAATGATTAATAAAAGGTTCTTGGCTATCAACCCAACATTTATTTTCATCCTCCGTATTTATTTGTAATATAAAGTCTGTCAAATCAGAGAGACTTGTTCCACAATTCATTTTTGAGGTATTTTTCAATCGAGAGGGCTTCTTGTGAAGTTTCCCAGTTGGGCAGTCATTTCTTTTACGATTATTTTGAATATGCGATTCACAGAATCTATAAGCTTATCTTTGTAAGCAACAACCAAACTCTCTTTAAAAACACTCCTTAATATTTATTTATGTGCAATCTTCAAATGTCAATGTATTTGTTAAGGTTTCCTGTGTCATAAGGGGTCAATTAAATAACCACATCATAAAGCATATCCTGCTCTATCCTTTGTTTTACTTGAAGGAACATTCATTTATAGAAATAAAAATCATGCTCTATTGAAGAATACTAGAGACAGAAATCATAAACTCATTAGGAAATATTTACTCAGGTAATGAATCAAGTAAGAAGTGGGATCATTCTCTCATGGACTTCCATTGCCTTTTTAAAAAAAGGTGGTATTGCCCCCTGCTGGTCCTTAGAAAGAATGCAGGTTTAAGGCACCTCTTCATTGGCTTGACTCTTCAGACACGGAAGCAATGTGCCCACTTCTTATTCAAAATCTATGCCTTACAAGCTCAGGTAAACCACTCTTCTAAGTTAGGATGAAGTTTGAGCCTGTAAGACATTGTTGAGGGCTTATTTCACCCATAATCATGCTCATTCAGTCTCAAACAGATTTTATTACAAAATGATCCTTTTATTGGATTGGAATTGCTTCTATTTACATTAAAAACAAAGGTACCTTAAAAACATTAAGTCAAGTGTCCCTTCAAATTCGAAAAGAATTACAGTTATACATTGCACAACACCCAGCTCTGGAAAGACACACTCAGATCGGTCCCTTTGTCAGAGGAGCAGCAGAAACCCTGAAACCACATCAGGAGGAATCAGACGGAGAAAGAAAGACGAACAAGTGGAATCACAGTTTGTTCATATTGTAGAAAAATCTGTTTCCTCCTCATGTTACCACCACTGTACAGATTTTAAAATACAGCTTTTTTTTATCTAACAGAGTCATCATCGTTTACTTTGATGATTCATGCCCCCACACCTCATTTAACAATTAAGAGTCATTAATTACAAAAACCTCCCACTGTGGGATCAAACGTTATTTAAACTCCTAAAGAAGTTTCACCTGGCGCTGCTCAGACACACTTTTTGCATCGTCATGATTTGTTGCAGAGCCGAGTCAGCATGATGGCACGATAACAAAGTTCATCATACTCTCATGGTGGTCTTTTATTCTCTGAGAGAGAGGATGTAAAATGCCCTACGGCTGTGTTTGGGGTTTGTAAATAGAAGAAACAAATGAAGCCTGACAAATACTTTCATTTAGCCACTTATCAAATGATCAGCAACAAAGACGACAGAGAATAGTGAAACGTCCATGAAAAATAATAACATAACCGTTAGCTAGCTTTAAAAAATGCTAGCTATACAAATACTAATAGTTAGGAAGTTAAATCTTCCATTCTTGCCACAGAATAAAAATGTAATAGCTAGGGAGTGGTTGAATGCAAACATGAACTTCTGTCTGGAACTAGCTTATGTGTCCTAAAATATGTCATTTAGGCTACACAATTTAATTTAATTTAAAGTTCACTGAAGAGTGTTCCTATCATTCGTCTTTTAAGCTGCTGATCATTTGCGAAAGCTGTGACATTTTTAACAATTTGTTCCTTTTCATGATCTGTAACCCTTGAAAAGAAATTCAATATAAAGCTTCTATGTGTGTGACATTAAGAAAAAAGGAGAAGCCCCCCCTTAAAAGTAGTTCATATGTTTGTTTTTCTTGTTCTTCACTGATCAAAGTTTAGTCCTTTTGTTTTTCTGTTCATGAATCAGACGGTCTCATCTTAGATCTGGCCTTTAGGGGTTTGTCTGCTTTCAGCGCCATCCTCCTAACACTGAGCAGATCTCTGCTCATGTCAGCTAAAGCACCACTTGGCTCGGCCGGTCTTTTGATAGTAATCTGCTCTGGACAGACGGGGGTCTTGGCAGGACAACAGTGGCGTTTAAAGAATCGAAGAACAATCGCTTTTAAGGAAATGAGTTTGATGAAACACTGCCCGCCTTTGATGGAACAAAGTGCTGCTGCACTCGTGATGATGATGATGATGATAGTCAGCTTTGATATCACAGCACACTCAGAGCTGAATATCTTTAGGGCTGGGAACATTTCAGGAGGTAAAAATTAAGATTTATGAGGAGGTGAAAGCGTCTCTATCTTCAGACTCTGTTCGCATTTGGGAATGTCGTGTCACCTGATGAAGATAGTCAATGAGTTTGAGTTGAGGGGAAGGAATGGATCTAGAAACATTGGAATGCCATTTACTGTGTATATATATATATATATATATATATATATTTAGATCCTGTTCCTCCTTGTGGCTTTAAGGAGGGACGGGATGAGAGGTTAGGTTGTTGAACACCTGTACGGTGGCCGGTCTTAAACAGTCAGATGTTCAATATCCAAAATGATTTTACATTACAGCTTTTTCCCATCTCCAACATCTCTGTCCCACACAATATAAACATGATCTTTTATGTGAGCTGTAACTGTGAAGGACTGCTTCATCATCATAGCTTTAGTTAAGATGGAGCTGTGATGGACTTCTATGATTTTGTTTTTGATGGAAAACAACATGAATCCTTAGCAAGGTGAAATCGCCTCTTCTTTGCGTTCTCCTGAATGGATGTTTAACGGTCTTGCGATCTAAATTCTTATTTAAATATCCTGTTACCAGGGAGCTTTATCACCTCCGTCTCCTTGCTCAGCAGTGAAGACATTTTGAACCCACCGGGTTTGGATAAACGGACTTTAAGTTGAACACCCAAACAGACACATGGTTTAGGATTCCAGGAGAAAAGAGCAGCAAACCAAAATGATTCATGTTAAAGCTGCATGGTTAAAGAGTGAACAGAGCAGTTTGATTTAAAGGCTCTTTTTTTTTTACCTGGATGTTTTTTCAGGCTATAAATTCTTAGGTCTTTGTATGTATCCATCCTTTGCATATTGGTTATTTCCAAGTCAAAAAGACCCTTCAGGTCATCCATTGTAAACGACCCATTCCAAACGAGTTTCTCAGGCGATGAGGGCCTCTCCCTCCTCCACCCAGATGAGGTCCAGGACCTCGGCCTGACGCTGCTCCCGCTGGTGGATCCTCCGCAGGCGCAGGATGTAGAGCAGGATGGCGAGCACCACCACCAGGATGCAGAGCGAGAACAGGTGGTGGTTGTAGACGAAGGAGGATCGCAGCCAGCTGGGGTGGTTCTGCCGCAATGTTTCCTGCTGAAGGTCCCTAGAGATGACATGAACAGACACGCTGGCACATGTTTCATACAACAAATACTAATCCTTAGCGATTAACATAATTATAGTGTCAGCATGCTGTACAGCCTGGTCAATAAACCATCTTTCAGTCTTTTCTTTGATGCTCAAATTTGGGTATTTTGAAACCTAAGCCCTTTTTTTGACATAACTTCAATCCAAAACGAATGCAGAAAAAGACATTTTGTTTTAGTGAACTTGGTCTGACCCTTATTTTTTTTTAGCAGGAATGTTGTTGCAGCCATTACAGCCTGATTCATAGCTGCCAGATAAACCGATCTACTAGAGATCTAGACCAAAAGTTTTTGTATCTCTTGTTGCAAATTATGACAAAAATTTAGCCAGGTTTTTTAAATAGCAAAATCATATCCCAAACGAGTTTTTTTTTTTATATTCTAGAAATGTAACGATAGTTTGTTACGCTGCTTTATTGATTCTGTTCAACGATCTTTTTCACTTTACTCCCTCTGACTGATTTAGCATCATCTAAAATAAGCAGGGTGACTTTTTATTGATAGATGTTATCACATACAGTCTCTAACTTCTAATATATGAATAGTCTTAATATCCTAAATGTATGGAAGATATGTTTGAAAGTTATTTCTGTCTCATAAACCAGTTTGATGTTTTCTGAAAATTTCCCAAGCCTCATCGTGAAACAGCGACAGTATGAACTGTCGATGTTTTCTGAGGTCATCATGTATGAAGTAATAAAGACGAAGTGCGTACGTGTGTGTGTGTGTGTGTGTGTTGAAATGAAAAGCTACCTGAGAGGCAGGAAGCGGGTTTTGAACAGGATGGCTCCCAGAGTCCACTGGACCTCCTTGTCATAAACCAGCTGAGCTGTTTTCAGACTCGTGTAGTCGGTGGGGAAACGGAATCCGGAGTGTAGCACCTCGTACATCCAGGCTGACTTGAAGCACTGATACCTGAGTGAGCAGGAGGGGGGGGGGCAGAGGAATGATTACATTATTCATGAAATGTTTTGACTATAACTTCTGATCCCTGAAGGGATATATAGAATAGAACACATATAGTATGGGATATCAGGCATACTTTATGTGCTGTACCGAGTGAATCCACTGACAGGGAACACATCTGGATTCTGTAAAGTGTACAAAGGAACAGAGACTGTTGTGAACTCTAAGACCTGGGACTTCAGTCTAAGCTGAACCCCATTCAGGCAAGAAAAGCAGCAGCCAATCCGACCTATGAGTGCCATCTACAGAGCAAAAGTAAAACAGGCTTCTGCTATTTTGGCAGCTCCCACTGAGAAAAGATGACAAACTTTATTTAAAAAAAAACAAAAAACTAAACTGCAACATGCTGTAACCATTACACAACAATGGACAATATGTAGCAAGAAGTGTATGAGAGCTGACAACAGAGAGACTATTCAACTTTTAAAGGAGCATGTGCACAATTGTCCTGCATAGGAACAATAGTGTGAATCTCTAATGTATTATGATGGAACAACAGTAATGTCTTCTCTTTATCAAGTTGATGAAAGCTTTCACTTGTCTACTTGTTCTATAGAGTATCTGGAAACTGTGCGCGCTCTTTGATAACACTCTGCTGTGGACTGTACGTTCAGTATGAGAAGCAACAAGCATTCAAAGAAACAACAAATCCAAACTCGACAACACATGACGGACGTGTAGTGCTCATACATGTTTGTCTGGTTCATGACTCTGGGTCAGGATGAAGACGGACAAACTCACTTTAGTCTGCCCATGTCCGCCTGCTGAGAGAAAAGCTTGTTGTCAAGACGCTGTTTTAGAGTTGACCACTTGGTCGAGCAGTACTCCTGTTGAAAAACAGAAACATTTATGTTAACAAAATATTTATGAAAACATAGAATCTTTTGTTCTTTAAGCAAAGTAATGAATTGTAAGTTATGAAAAGTAAATAAATACCATAGCAGCTTGAGAGTACTTCTCACTGTCGTAGTGTCCCCCGAGCCTCAGCACGTCCTCTGTACAGTAAAAAAACTCAGAGAAACCGTAGAACTCACTGTTGCTGAAGTTGATCGGGGCCTATAAGAAAAAGCAGTAACAGTTGTTTATTTTGTCTTTCAGTGTAGGCTAAGCTATACATATAACAATACATTGTTATGATCACATTTACTGTGATATTAGGCCTTTTTTTCCATCGCAAGACAAACTTGTTGGTCTGCATTTTTTATTCCTCACAGTCTCTATCACTGCACTACTTTTTGCAGTCGGAGAAAAGGAATTCACATCTGACTACATCCTTAAAAAAAATCATATGCAGGTCAACTATAAATAAAAAATTGTATCCTAAAAATATCCCACCACTAGTGGTATCATTGTTTTCTTACACCTCTAATTGATTAAACAATGTTAACATCATCACATCTGGGTTTCTGGTGTGCATTTCTCTGCTCCATCATACAGCAAACTTCTAAATCTGCATCTCTCCTGGACTCTTGTTATCTACATGAAGGTGCATACTTGGTAGATGCCCCGTGGTGACATGGTGCCGTTGTGGAGGCCTAGAAAAGGACGCACAGCCTCCTGACAGTGAGTCCAGTCTCCTTGACCCCTCAGGTACAGCGTGTGGTTGGCTCTCACAACCGTGTCTGACAGACCGGCTGGCAGACACGGGTCCAGGTATGGTTTGTCCTCACTCAGGCCCGTCTGCGCGGTCAGAAACCTGAAGAGACATCAAGTCACATCTGGGTGGTGCACCAGGAAGGGAAGGTCTTCACTTACAGACACATGTGGCCTCATTTTAGATAACATAATACTCAATATTAATAGATGTATCTTCTTCAAACTGTTTGAACATCTTTCTTTGAGATTTTACTCCATATTCATTTTTGCCATAAACAAAAAGATAGCCGGCACTGACCAGCTTGTAAACTGGATTTTGTACCACCTGGTTGGATTTACAGAAAAGTGTGGGATATTTTTGATGGCAAAATGCAAAAAATGAAGCCATCACAGTCATAAAGGAAGGTTTCCATTTAAGAAGTATTGTAATAATGATTTTGACATATTCCTCAGACTCATATTTGGGTTCTTTGCCCCCGTTAAGAAAAAACTCTTTATATCTAACAGTGAGTTAATTAGAAGTCATGAGACAGACTCTTAAGAAAAAATAAAACTTGAAAGAATATTGTCCTACATTGAAGTCCTGATACTTTATTACGTAACAGGAGTGTAGCTTTGTTTTCTCTTAGTGTTTAATTTTATTCTTGAATAGAGGGAAGGTCCATCATTCATGTCTTTTCAACAATTACATGGATCAAAAAGATAAGATAAGCAGCTTGAACATACTGTATAAATGCATTTCAAAGAATACATTGTTTGTGAGAGCAGAAACCTGTTCTTTGCCAGTGTGTTGTTGACCAGCTGGTCCTCGTAGCGCTGCCTGGCCATGTTTCCCCCGAAGCCGAGGAACGTGGTGACGTAGACTCTGTAAACGTGTTGTGTGTGTTCAACATCACAGCCCAGATTAAACTCTGCGAGGACACTCTTCCCCGCCTCCTCCTGAAACACAGAGGCATCCCATTACTGCAGAAAAGACCGACTGTATAGACGAGGCCTAAGCCACAGGTACACAGGTTGTCTTTTTTAAATGTAGCTTAGTAAGTTTTATATTATTTATATATTATAGATATTTCCTAATCAATAGAATATAACCAGAATATACAGGGATGAGCTTTTTTTTTACACCACATGATCAATCAAGAAAAGAGTTCAGCAGATTAAATCAGCATGAAAATAATAATTTTCTTCAACATGAATCCTCCAGACAACGATGCACTTCTTTACCTCTTGTGGTGAAATGAAGGTGATGGCACTCGGCACTTCATAAGCAATCTGCAGTGAAGCTCCTCCCATATCCATGATGCCCACCGTACGCCGCCTGCTGATTGGCTGCTGATTCTGAGAGCCAGTTGTCACCTCAACTGTGGCGTCCTCTGAAAAACACAAAGGAATCATGTCCAGATGATGTTACTCTGAACTGGCAATGAAGATTATTTCACATGTAAAGAAAATGCAAAACTACATTAAACAAACACGTGAAATGAGTCTGACATTAAACTTTGACACTAACCGTCATCAGCGTGATCAAAGCGGCCCAACACAAAGTTAATGCCAATCCATGCGTACACTCCTTGAGGGCAGAGAGGCGAGAGCAGCGTGTCATCATAGCCACAAAGAAACGAGCAGGAGTTAGAAATGTAGCTTCAAATTAATGTGCCATCACAGGAAAACCTCATGCCCCCTCACCTTCTTGTTTCCCAGAGATGACCTCAGCGTGGGAACGTGAAAACAAGAAGTCAAACTCCAGGGGGACATCAGTGATCAAGTCCTCCAGGATGTCTGCCTGCTGGCTGCAAACGAAGCAAGAAGAACTATAACTTAGAAACCCATCTCTTCTTTGCATAGCAAATCAAATATAAAGCCTATCGCACATTTTATACTAACTTTAGAACATCCCAAGTATTCCATTCTTATGACTCAAAGTCCTGCTAAAGATACTGGCACAAACTCATCACCTCACATGCTGTAGTGGTTACCTCTCAGGGAGAAGCCTCATGCCAGCTGTGCAGAGGATGTAGAGCGGTGTCTCCTTGTGTTTAGTCCTCGGGACGTGAGCAGCGGCGAAGCTGAGCAGAGGATGGAGGTAGTCGCTGGCCTGAGTTGGCGTTTTTGCCAGAGTGGAGATACCTGATCGAGAGAAACACAATAAACGCCCATTTTGTTTGTAATCAAGAACAAAACAAAAGAGAGCAAGTTTAACACCCACTCAAATCTTCTTATCACTTATAAGATATCTGTGATGTCACTGCTGCTACACTGACTTTTTTTTTCCTAAGATTTATTTTGGGCTTTTCGTGCCTTTAATGCAGAGAGAGGACAGTGGATAGAGTTGGAAACCAGGGAGAGAGAGCACGGAATGACATGTGGAAAGGGGCCACGGGTGGAAGCGAAACCGGGCCTACCGCTCGAGATGAGAGTCTCAACACATGGGACGCACGCTCTAACCATTGCGCCACCAGCGCGCCCCCTACACTGACTTTTTATGTAACAATGACAATAAATATTGGCAAACACCCAGCACTAGCTAACAACGTTTCTTCTTTTCAGAAACAAGTGCTCATGATTACAAAATCTGACTGATGATCATTTCAATTGAGTTGTCCACACAATCATTTCTGAAAACACTACATGAAAGTGGATACTTCTCTGAGGGTTGATTTATTACGTCAAAGTACGGCTACTGTACGTTCAAAGTACACGGGGTGTTAAACTGCTCACTGAACAAATGCAGAATCTGTAACCTTATCAGTTCTCTGAGGCTGAGATAAATCCAAGTCACACAGGCTGATTGGTCTTCTGATGTGACTCATTAATAATATAAATCAGAAATACAACTCATGCTAAACACAAACACCCAATACTGCAGATGAAGTGAGTAATGGGTACCATACATCCCTTTCTTTGTCTTGTATGAAACGTGTTCTTTTAGAAATGCTTTCTATTATCTATATTAAACACACTGTCCTTCAATTTTCTTTTAGCCTGAGAGATGAACCACAATAACTAGTGATCATCATGACTACACTGTGAAGTAACATTCAAAAGCATAAGAGAAGATGCTTAACACAATCATGCTTTCATCATCTTGTTGATTCCTCCTTTCTAGATCCTGGCTTGTGTTTCACTTCCTCTCTGATTGAGGTCCCTTTGAATAAAAGCGTCTGCTAAATGAATTGCAGAATAAATATGGACTTGGATCCTCAGCAAAGACACAAGACACAATCTTGTCTGCCTATGTTGTGTGTTTGTTTGTGTTGACTTCTCACACGGACAAAATTAACATCAGGATGTTAGAAATCAAACTTTAACCAGAGAGAACGGACACATTTGAGAGTTTCGTAAAAAACAATCGATACAAAGACATTAATGATGTAGTCAGCTCCTCTTCCTCACCAGGTTTGATCTTCTTGACGACAGGTTTGCGGTCGCGGTCCTTCATCTGTCTGATGTCCAGCAGGGTGTGAGGGTTCCCGTTGTGGGGGGGCCAGTAGTACACAAAGACCCGAGATCCGCTGCTGCCGCAGTCCACCACAATCCCATAATTCAGAGCCGGGTTGAGGATGTCAGTGGCCTCCATGGTCTCTGCAATGGAGAGGTACCTGCAGAGAACAAACCCAGGAAAGTTATCAGACAAAACAACAACATAAAAACCCAAGAGATACTTTACTTTGCTGCAAAACACAACAATTCAAAACCCCTGCTTCCATCCCCCCAAATCAATCCATATATCCAGATCGCCAACCCCACCTCAATTTACTCCTCAACAACAAAAGAGAAAGTCAGTCGCTCAAATTATCACTTACAAATCCAATGTACATATGTTAACGCAGCGGTTTCATGCACCAATAACGACAGAAAAGAAGAAATATTATTAGTAATGAAATAGGAAAAGAAAGAAAAAAAAAAGTCACTTTCCAGATGAATAGAAAATATATTTGGTATAAACTAAATCAATACAGAATGATCATGGTATATACACATCCAAGTATATTTTGAAAACTGTGAATTTGAGTGTTTTATTTATCCATGGTGATATTCCTTTACCAGCTGGCTGAAGAGTGATGTAGTTATTTACTGGTTTAAATGTATGGACACATACTAAAAACAGGAAACAAAACAGACGCTGTTGTAATGGAGTTGCAACCATCACTCTGTAGAGTTCCCAGGAGTCACTTGTGTATCTCTGTCTGTCCTTGGATACTAAAAACAGCAGCTGCAGTCGGTCTCACAGAGTGAGTTCACATCACTTTGAGCCGCCTGGTTTCCAAAAACAAATATAAGATTATCAGCTGGCTGGGAACTTTCACCAAGAACTTTCCAGTTCAGCAAGAAATGTTGGGGTTTCACAAACAGCCAATAGCATGCAAAACATTTTCTTCTATATACTTCTATGTGTGCCTGTTTGAGCTTAATTTATGGTAAAAAAATAAAATAAAATCGGGGGGGGGGGCGATTGGTTTTCTTCAACAATTGTAAAGATGGGGTAGACAGTCCCACATCTCTAACTCCCCTTGGCTGTGTTAAGTTTAGTGTTTTTTTAATCTTTAAAACTTTTACATGTTAATCACAATTTATAAATATATTTGTGAAGAGAAAGATTGTTGCTATTGGTTACGATATGCTTGACGAAAGCTGATGTGCATGCACAAAACATCCATTCATGTGGTGAAAATAAAGATTGAGTCAAAGCTGTAAAAATCCTACAGAAAAAGTCACTTTTTCAGTTTTGGAAAAAGACTGACTCAGATTGAATTAAGATCGATAAAAATAGAGTCGGACAATAAATTGTCAAATCTGTCACTCACTTATTTACATGGGACCCTGGCCGTCGCTGTGGGCCCCACAGCTGCCTCTGGTATGAAGCCAGGAGGAGGGCGGATGTGATGAAGAGCAGCAGCAGCAGCAGTCTCTGCCTGGAGACACAGCTCAGAGACAGCAGGGACACGCTGCAGTACCATGAGGCCGGCAGGCAGGAGAAACTGATCCTGTGGAGGAAAAACACAATCCTTTATCACCATTGTGTGTGAATCAATTTAATCAGGTAATAAAGTGTTATATGCACAAACCATGATGCATGACACAAAGCTTCAAACCTCAGGGCTTCTGAAAAATTATCTCCTATCTAAGGATATTCAAAATGTTGATATTTTTGGATGACACATTTTTCTAAATGATACAATCTCCGTTATTCTAATGAAAGGCAGTATCAAGAAAGTAAAGCTCAAATAAATGGTAAAAATATTGGTACACTGCCAGTGTATCTGTGTAATCAAGACAGTGTGCGGGTGTTTGCTTACTATTCTTGATCATTGGAAACTATAAATGACACAACATTTTCTGTCTAGAGCTTTGATTTTTCCGTCGCTGTGTTTTTCAAAACAGGTTTCAATATCGTGTGATCGTTAACTAGCATCGCGCCCAAGTTCAGAATGCTAGTATCATGACAACACGTCTCAGTTTGTTACCTTGCCATGTGTCCGCGTCAGAAACAGTACACGATGTCACAGTCGTCACCTCATGGTGCCAGTGGTCTGATAAGGATCCTTTCCAGGGTTGTGAAGTGCCCTCTTAAAAATGAAGGGCAAACGTTAATTCTGTTCGATGGTGCTAAACAGGCTTTGAAGATTTCTCCACAGTTAAAACAGGTCAAAAGTTCAACAAAAACTTAGATTTTAGGAGGAGATCATTCTTTTTTAAATGGGCTATGTTGTGACAGCCGGCTGGGGGGGGGGGGGGCACATTTAATTCTTTTGTAATCACAACTGACTGTATTGATGTGGTTCATCTCATCATTACACTGTTCTTATATGTGGCACATTTTCCTCAAGACACATTTACAAAGTTTTCTTGAGATGATTCTACATAAAAAATGTCATACTGACAGTTCTTTGACAAGTTTGAAGCCTATACAGCACTTAAAAGATAAGATAAGATATACTTTATTCATCCCAGCAGGGAAATGTATGTGTTCCAGCAGCCAGCATACATACAAACACACAACACAACACAACACAACACATATATATACATACATATCCCATCCATACAAAAAAACATGAGCCCACAATACATAGCCAGGATAAAAAAGTGGTATGGATGGTCCATGTGCATAAGTAGCTGTGACTCATAGATAACAGTACAAAATACTAGCTCAAATTAAATTAGATCAAATTAAGTTAGGCCTATATTAACAAGCTTTGACTTGACATCAAAACATTGGATTATACAAAGCATGAAACAAGTATGTTTTAATGTTAATATGAAAAGCACATTTAGTTTTATATTAAAACACAATGCAGCACTTGTCTGTAACTTCCTTGCTGAATGCATTATGTACTTCACTAGCAGGTACATCATGTACAACAGCTAGTTATCTACCTGCACTAGTGATAACAGTATATCAAAGCCTGTCTGTTAGGTGTGACTTCACAATACGTGTCCTGTATGTCTGCAATCTAATATTATTAACAACCCCCAGCCTTTTGAATACAAGCCATTGAAAGAGGAGTACATGGTTTAAATGTGCCGGTTACATAAGATGAAACTATTGCGTTTATATTAGAAAAACTGGCCAAATAGACTGAACAAACAGCCCACATGAATAAATTAAATATTTTCCCACGGTGGCTACTAATGTTAGCATGTGTTCCGTTATAACCTGGCTCAGAGTTCATCCATATGCTGTCACTCTCTGCGATACACTTACCTAAATATGCTTTTCCTCCGCCATGACTGGACAGTCAGTCGTTGAAAAAGTCGTCCCTTCAACAAAAACGATAATAAATACGTTTTTTTTCTCACTTTACTCCACGAAGACTATTTTGAAGAAGGAGATGAGCCGAAGAGAAGTCGTCTTCTTCTTCTTCTTCGTCTTCTTCTTCGTCTTCCGTGTCGTCTTCGTCTTCTTCTTCTTCTGTTGTTTATTGGCGGTTGGCAAACAGCTTGTAGGTGCATTACCGCCACCTTCTGGACTGGAGTGTGGACCGGAAGCTTTTCTTTCCTATGATTATTTGAGTCTGGTTTTTCCTGAAATTATAAAGCTATCCACCCAACATGGCCTGAGTTCAAGTGTACACTTTTACCTCCTACTTGATTTGATATTTTTCCAGTTTGTATTTTAAAATCTGCCTTTGCTGTTTGTATTGATGATGATGAATGATTACATGATAGCTGTCTCCTGTACATCACATTACTTAGGCTACACATACCAGTTAACCAATTATCTTTAATGTACTTTTCAGGTGCATATCTAAGAAAAACATTATTGTAATGTCTCCTACCTGTTTGTTTCAGCTTGTTCCTCTTGTTCCTCAGTGTCTGATGGACTGATATATAACGTCCTATAGGTGCTCAATTGAATTTTGTTTGGGGGAATGAGAGGGCCAGTCAATGGCATCAATGCCTTTGTCATCCAGAAACTGCCTAGCCGGCAGGCGGTCAATGACCTCTCCAGAGCTGCTAAAGAGGGGATTCACGGCTGAACCCTCTGGAGGTGTCGTGGGCCTATCAGCAAAACACTGAGGAAAGAGGGCGCCCTCTTGACAACCCACAGGATGACAACATGAACTTGAGTGTCCCACAAAGTCCTCACAGAATGATGGACTGACCAGATACAGGTAGGTGTGTGAGGCTCAAAGGAGTCAGACACACACTCACACAATAATAGGCAGTCCTAAACAAACAAACAGTCTTGCTGTTGTCTCTTTCATTTTCATCAAAGCAGGTGAAATTGATTCACAATCACTTCACAATCAAATGTGCTTCCCAAATGGACAGATCGATATCCCTGAAGTTCAACAGTTATTCTGTGATTGTTTAGTTTGTCTTTATTTTGAAGCAGTCTATTTAGTTATATAGCCCTCTGCTAAACTTTAAAGACAAAGATTTTACTTTGATCACATTCACTTTTTATTCTGTGTGAGGAAGATTTAGAAACTGGTCACTTGTCTTTTCTTTGTGTTTATGTGGTGTGGTAAATATGCACCATAATGTTTCACTGTTTTTCTAATTATAATTCAAAATGATCTGGTAAGTGTGTGTGTTAGCTTTGAGAGGACTTTGAGAGGACTTTGGGAGAACGTGATGTGTTTGAGTTGTTGTCTGCAGCCCCTCCTTCCTTTGTTTACTTCTTATTTGGTCATTTCTTCATTTTGACCCCTCCCCTCGGCTCTTTTGTATGATTTCCTGTGGGAGAGATGGGTCTCAATTTTTTTGACTCTGTTTTTATTTATATCCATCCTTTAATGTACAGAATTATTTTTTTTTAAAAATGCTTTCAAAAAGAACCTGAGCTGTGCTTGTTAACAGACAATCTTGGGACAAGTGGAAGACTGAGCCAGCTTTTAACCTTTAGAGTGTATGTGTGGATCAGATCCACACCTTACAGATGACCCACACAGCACAAACAAGAACACACACACAGAAAGGGTAAAGAGGAAAAAAGACATGGATTTTCACTTCCCTGTTTTACCAGAAACAATAATATATTTGGATCCAAAAAATGTGGCTTATATTGAATACTTTTTTTGTTTTGGGTTTTGTTTTCTACTCGCAGATGTACATGTACACGCACGACACAATCTCAATTGTTCTTTTTTATGATAGTACAACGCTTTATTGCAAATCACTGAAGTATATTTAAAAGATAGGAGTAAAATACTACTTAACATAATTGACAAATTAGAATAGATTAATAATTGAAAATGAATTATTTTAAACCTTGTTGCATTTATTATTATTGTAGTAGGCCTACTTTTATTAGATTACAGCAATGTTTGTTATTTTTCCAGGAAAAGATAAGTACATTTCTCTGCTAAATAAACAGTTTTTCTCTTATCTTAAGGGAGTTTTAGCAAATACCAAAATTGTTCACACTAGACTAGATAATTATGAGTGTCCCATTATGTAATAAAAGGCGTATTTGTCTAATTTAAACTCCCACTAAGTCTTAGAATAAACTGGGTGAGTAGCTCAGTAAAATATATTGATATTAATAGGATACTAAAACATATTTAGGCCTAAATATTCTTTATATAGCACGAATTCCTTGGGAGGGCCTGTTTATAGCACTTCCCGAAATTACATGTGACACCCTGATGTTACGAAATCGTCAACGCCTACTGATGTTAAACCCCGCCCCATTTAGTGACGGATTTGGCCGATCATAGGAACTGACTGTGATTGACAGCAAGACTGTCGAATCAAATTACAGGTTTAGTCTGACTCACTCAAAATCTCATTAGAGTCACACACACATGCCTTCACTCCAGTTCCCGGGAGTCTCCACAAGCTGCCTTCTGCGCCTAGACTGCAGCCCGCCAAGACTTCCTCTGGCTGGCTGTGGGAAACAGCAGCCGGGTTTCAACAGACTCAGCGGACGTAACTCGACGGATTCGTGTCCCGGCGAACGTCCATGGAAGCACCGGGCGTCGACAGCCGAGTCCCAGGCGCTGCAGCCGGGGCAGAGTTGCGATGGTTGGGCGGCAGGCTCCTGGACGCCAACGTAACAGGGGGGTTTGTGGGGTCTCTTTCATCGAGAAAAGCAGGGGAACAGGACTATAACCCGGTGTTGCATCGAGTAGCTCCAGAGACATCGCCCTGTGCGGAGACAGACGTAGACTATGAAGGGCTTCCTCAGGAAGTCGCGACCAGCACACACATGCTGGCAGGATCCGTAGCTGGAATCATGGAGCACTGCCTTATGTACCCCATCGACTGTGTCAAGGTATCAAAGGCTCACAACACAATGCTTGTTTTGTCTGCGTCCTGTATGTTTCACAGTAAACACACACACTGGTCGCATCAAACATAAGTGATTGTAGGTAGGCCCGAATACAAGCCTGAGCTCGATTTATGTCTGGCAACAAGCTAATGTCAGCTAGCAGGGTAACCTTGCTAACAGAGGTCAGTTAACTAATCAAACATTGTCAGAACAGTAAATGACACATCAAAACTTCATGATGTAATCCACGAGAAGGTGCAGACGCTTAGTCTGAGTGTAGTTTTCTTACAGGTAGTGTTTGTTTTGATATCTGTTTGGTTTGACAGCTGTGTCTCCTCTGCTTAGCCTGCTGGCTACACATTAGCATTGTTAGCATGATTCAATAATCAAGATATCCCTGAAACTGACATTACTTTTTCCTCAACTTTATTCATTTTATGATTATTTTGGGTACCAGTAGACTGTAAATTGTGTACTTACTGTCAAAGCTAAGATTGTTAAAATGTTCATTATTTATTTTTTTTTTCATTTTTTTTTCATTTTTCTTTTTTAAACTACGTGTTTATAAAAGATAATCTCTATAAATAAAATATAATTTGATACCTCCGCTTTTATACCCCGCACATATCTTTTTAACCCAGGAAACATAATTTGCAATATGTCGTATTGGTGCAATTTGAACAGTGTGCAGCACTTCAACTTTTGTTCATGAAGAAGAAGTCACACAATATTGGGAGCATTGGACTTTTTGTTGATTTTTACAATAACTTATTGAAGTTGATGTCCCTGTCATTGAGCATCAGCCTTGTTCTCTACTTATATGGTTATGTTTTAGTTATAAGACATAGTTCTAGTTAAGTATTTGGACTGGAGTGAGAGCAGATTATTTTAAATGCTGTCTGAGGAGGTCATAAAATAGTTCATTGTGAAGAAATCCCTTAACACAAATGGGTTATCAGTCAATAAACCAACGGTCGACAGTCTTTCTTAATGCATGTACTATAAAGGATTATGCAACTGGTTAACTTTACAATTTGGTGATTTGATGACACATATTTAATTATCAACCTTACTTATCGCCTATTTTGTCTTTTAACCCAGTTAGGTCAACTCATTGTCATGTTAAATTAAAGGGGCTTTGACTGAGATCAGTGAGTTCAGAATCAGAATAAGCTTTATTGGCCACATATGCTCACACATACAAGGAATTTGACTTCAATTAAATGTGCTCTCAATGTTCAAAGTTATACATTTAAATGACCGGTAATAGTTAAAAGATGATGTTAGCTACTCTGTACATCCATTGCGTTAACAATTTTGGTCCAACCCCTTTATGAAGTTCTATGAGTGACGCAGAGATCGAAAAGACGCATGGCAGTGCCACTTAGAGAACATGTTAGTAATCCTATGGAAGCACTGTTTGTCCATCAGTTTATCGGTTCTTCTTAAAGGACTGATTGGACTGATTAATCATCACTGGTACCAACAAATTCCAGTCCTCCATACACATTGCTTTTACAACAGAAATGAACAGAAAGTTCAGATGTACACACAGGTAGTAGTAAAAAACAAACAGTAATGCAGATGAGCACATCCTGGAAAAAGTCAGCGGGAAGCTTTTGCTTATTTCTTTTAAGTCTGTTTATTACTTCCTGTTGAACAGCATTATTGTTGTGAGCACTGATTGTTGTCAACATCACACGATGGAGATTATCAGAAAATCAGGTTTAACAATGTGAGCTTTAAGTCTGAAACTGCATCTCAGGTTCTCTTTACTAAACCAGGAAATGTTTACTGATCCTGAGTATGAGCTGATTCAGCTTCTTACTAACTCCTCACTCATTTAAACTTATGAATCTGAGCACAGTACATTTCCAAATGATGCAGCTATGAGCTCTATAACAAAATATCCACACCATGATTATTTACCAAAAGTCATAAGATTGGTTATTCACTTCACTGAATAAGAATTACATTTAACTTTTGTAAACGATCAGCCAGTTTAAAGCGGTTTGACAGACTCACTGCCAAATGCAAATTAGCCTCTAAAGTACACAACTGGTCATTCTGGGGCACTGGCTCTCTTGATCCGGTTCGTATGAGAAGATAAAGAACCAACAGCGCTCTGTGGCTTCCCCGACCACATTCAAATAAAACAAAGCTTTTGTTCTGAACAAATTCCTTGATGATTAGCTCTTCCAGTTCGTTGCATATTTTGGCAAAAAGTTTCAGTGCATATCAGCCCCTTGTTCACAATAGCTGTTTTCATAGCTGTACACCCGAGTCAAACAGCAGATAGTCTCTCTATTCTTTTAATGTCTGACCATTTTTGGTTTACCTCACAAAGACAAAACATGTGCACGAGTTCATCTGCAATTTTTGAATTCATTCTGTTTTTACGCACCTGTCTCACAGGTATTTTTTTTTTCTTTCTCGAGCTTTGGTCATTTTTTGATGCCAACTATCATTCAAATTCAAAGTGTTCAATTTTGACCTCCTTACTTTGAACACAAGTTGTTTACCAAATAACATTTTACATGTTAAAAAGTCCTTAGCTGCAGCTACCACAGATAACTGTTAATATGTTTACGTGTGAAGCACTGATTAATGCTGCTTTAAAATAGCCCCGGCTCTTTACCATAAACTGACACAAATATGCCTTTCAGACTTGAACCCACACCTTCAATTTGAGTGACCATTTCCTGGTAGCACGAATTTCCGCATGAGGGAGGGTTCAGGCAGGAAATTCACATATTGCATAATATATAAAGTTGAAGGATTTCGCCATCTTGGTCTGCAGCTTTGGAATTTTTTTTGATACTCTTGTGTCTGCATAGTTATGAGTCATGCACTAAAAAGCTACAGTGTAAATAGTTCAGCTTTTCTGAGCATGTTATTCGTGGTTTGAGGTTGGCAGCTTGAATTCAATTTCAGTTTGAGTTTGGCCATCCAAGTGTACTGTTACTGTTACTGTTTTATTCCATTCATTAAAGCCTGATTGTTTTTGGACAGTTTGAGGCGTTGTAGATTTCAAAGAGGAAAACAATCATTAATTACAGATACACATAAGGCAACTGATACAGTGAATTTGTAAGCTAGATTGAAAATGTATTTTCTAAATGTACCTAAAAGACTCTTCAGAGTAAATACCTTAAATTATGAAGAATGATATCAATGCTGCTGCAGAAAGTTCTTGTTGAGCATTGTAAGTTGTTGAGGCTCAGTTTGGCCTTCTGTACAAAGGAAGTGATGACATAATTGATGTGATTTTGCATTGTATGTTCTGTAAAAGACGTTTTTCTTAGAAGAAAACATACATGGGCCTACGTTGGACCACGTCTGTTAGTAGATGTTGAATTTGAGTCAGGACAGAAATTTCTGTAGTGTGAAGTTCCAAGAGATTGATTTGAAAAGGCCACTCGTTTTATTGATGTGTGCAACAGTCCATTTTATGTTTAAAATCATTTGATTTCTTTTGAGTGTATTCTGAACGTTTACATCATGACCTTTGATGTTTAACTGCATGTTTTTACAATGCTGGGAAAAATCTTTGCAGTTCAATAGGATACTTATTTACCTAATACTAAAAGAATTCCCTGTTTCTGTACATTAGGGAAAAATGAAAAAATAACTACTACTACTATCTATCAATGTGTCCTTCCCTTTGTTTCCCACTTAACCCAGACTCGAATGCAGAGCCTGCACCCCGAGCACGGAGCACGCTACAGGAACGTGATGGACGCCCTGCGGCAGATTGTGCGGACCGAGGGTTTGTGGCGGCCTATCAGAGGTGTGAATGTTCTGGCAGTGGGGGCAGGACCTGCCCACGCTCTTTACTTTGCCTGCTATGAGAAGATCAAGTTTTCACTCAGTGATGCCATTCACCCTGGAGCCAATAGCCACTTCGCTAATGGTAAGATGTCTACTGACGGAAAACTTTATTTCCATTCAAGATGCTGAGATATAGTAGGGCTGCAGCTAACGATTATTTTAATGATCGATTATTTTTTACTCAGGTTGTTACTTGAACATCCCTGAGCTTTTAAAATGATAAATACTCATTTAAACAAAATGATGAACTAAATATTTATCGGCTTTGCTACATCAAATAACTGACAAGAAATACTGCACTCACCTGTCTGAGTGTGATGTAAATGGCTCCGCGCCACAGTGAGTGACTGAATAATCCATGACTCAGTGAATCAACAAACCCATTGATGTTGCCTCCCTAAAGTGTACCTCCTTACTTTAAAAAAGGAAACGACAACATCAGATAGCTAAGGCACAAATATTTAAAGATGGTTTGATTTTTTTCAAAGTCAGTGAATAAAGTACGGGATGTAGTGTTTTTGCTACTCTGCCTCCTAAGGGCACATGCTTTACATTCATGTCAGTTTGGTAACAATCAAGGATGTCTTTGAAACCGTAACTTGATCTTCTCGTGGTCAGGCCGTTAACTTCCTCTTGAATGTTTCCTCTGTTCTGCAGGAGTGGCGGGCTGCATGGCTACAGTGCTGCACGATGCAGTAATGAACCCAGCTGAAGGTAAACCCTCACCTGACTCTCACTCTCGCACCTTTGTTCTTCACTTTCAGCAAAGTGAAGCCCTGCTGTTTAGTATGTAATCTCTAACTAAAGGCCATAGTAGAAAATCCTCTCTGATGGTGTAATACCACCATCAGGACACTAGATGGAGCTAAAGACTGAGCACTGTCACTGATGATGACCAGATGAAAACTGCAACAAACCACTCTGAGAAACATTTCATGTGTATTCATGAATGGAAGTTCATTTTCGATAAATAATTATATTCATTGTGTTGGAAGCTGTGATGGATGATTGAAATAGAGGAAAACATGAGGAGGGAATTCTCTCCATGAGCTCCGTTGGTACTAGTGGTTAACTGACCAAAAGGCCTCGGCCCACACTTCAGCTTTTTATGCCATCATTTGTTTTAAGCTGTGAGTGACACAACACAATGAGGGAGTAAAGCTGTTATACAAGTGGCCTGGTGCTCATTTCTAGGTTTCCCAGGATGCTTGTCTTATTTCAGTTTTTCTCATGTCCCCCCCCCACAGTTGTGAAACAGCGAATGCAGATGTTCAACTCTCCGTACCGCGGTGTCCTCGACTGCATGGGATCCTTGATGAGGCAGGAAGGCTCAGCAGCTTTCTACCGAAGCTACACCACCCAGCTGACCATGAACGTGCCCTTCCAGGCGCTTCACTTCATGACCTACGAGTACCTCCAGGAGCTTCTCAATCCCCACAGACAGTACAACCCTTCCTCCCACGTGGTGTCAGGCGCCCTGGCCGGAGCTGTGGCCGCCGCCGCCACCACTCCGCTAGATGTCTGCAAGACCCTTCTTAACACACAGGAGGCTCAGGCCATACACGTGGTCCAGGCTGAGGCAGCATCGGCAGCTGGAGCAGTGGGAGCAGCCACCGCCTCAGCACCTGGAAGCCGCCACATCTCTGGGCTGGGCGAGGCTTTTCGGACTGTGTACAGGATGGGTGGCACGCCGGCGTTCTTCAAGGGCGTCCAGGCCCGTATCATCTACCAGATGCCCTCCACAGCCATCAGCTGGTCTGTCTACGAGTTTTTTAAATACATCATCACCAAGCGACAGCACGAGAGAAGGCTGCGTGGAGACCGCGATGGAGACAAATAAAAATTCTGTTTTGGCAAAAGCAACAGAAAGGTCAACGCACCGTAGAGGTAGCTGTTATCAGTTTTGATTTCTGAACGTCTAAAAGGTTGAAAAGCTCGATGATTTTAGATTCTCTGAGCTAAAAGTCAAAGCTTATTGTTTACTTAGATCGGCCAAGCTAGCTGTGATCTAGTTCATAACAGGTGAAGACAAGACGACTGTTAGGAGGACGCTTGTCTTATTGACTTAAGTACAAGATGTGGAGTTTAATCTTCGCTATAGAACAGGCCTTGAAATCTACAACAGGAAGTCCTGCTTTCCCAAACTCACCCCATTACATCCTCACGCTTTATCTATATTTCATTTTAGTGTTCAACTTGACAAGCTTCTTTTATTAGCTTTCAAAAAGCAATTTATTTATGGACTATGAACTCTGTACATTTGAATTTGGCAATTTGAACAAAAAAAAAATACTCTGCATCCCTCAGTCACCTACAAGCAGTTTCTTACAGTTAAAACCTTTTATTTATTTTTGCACTGAAGGACATAAACAGCTAGCAGTCGCTCTGATGGGAAAACTGGGTTCAAAATCCATAAAGCTCAAAGTCAGCACTTTGACCTCACTGTAACTATCCAGTGTGTTTGAACAAGAACAAAAATGTCCTCCTATTCAAGTGCTCAAGAACTGCTCTGTAAAGTGATTTAACCCTCCCCCCTTCACTGCACATGTTGCACTTCTGAAAAGTATTACTACACGTATACCTTCTGACCACAGGGGGGCGCACAGCTTCACAAGCAAATTAACTTGAGGTTCTAGAAACTGATATATCATATCCATTTGACTACTTGAGCTGTTTAACAGTAACTTTTCACTCAGAGGAGACCGAAAAATGTTGAAGAGAGTTTATTATAAATGGAATTAGTTACTAGTTGAATTTACCCAAATGCCGCTGATGTGGGCAAGACAGCCTGTGATTTGTTAATTTCCTTTAAAATAATTAATTTTGGATTGACTACATTTAAGTTTGCAAGCCTTGAGTGAAACAGCTGTATGAGTGTGTGTGTGTGTGTGTGTGTATGTGTGTGTGTGTGTCTAACAGTGACTGGATGAGTGGACATTCAGCTTCATACAGCTCAGCAGCGACTCTGACCAGAACTGATGTTAACACAGCATGTCGCCGGGAAACACTGCACACCATAATAGTGCAAGCACGTCATGGAACCCCTTGTCTTCCTTTACAACGAACATTTCATACAGGTACGAGCAGCTGTGGGGCTATGCGGCACAAAATTTAGAGATACACTTTTTTTTAGTTCCAAGGAAAAATAGATTAGATTTAACTTATCTGGAAATTAAAGTGAATGATGTATTGTTTATGGTTGAATAAAAATCATACCAGCTGCATTTCATCTTTCACTACAGTATTCCATTTGTAATTTGTCTGTGTACAGTGAGTCACAAAAGACATGAAAAAATATTAACCTTTATTATTTTATTTATTTCATTACATAAAAAAACCCTTTATATTAATGACAGGGCAATACATTGATTTAACCAATCATCTCAAATTCCTGTTTCCAATGTTTGTAAGTCTATGTAGACGGGTGAGGCAGCAGCATGGCTGACTGTAGTAAGGTATGTGTCATGCACAGGTGGAGGTAGACAGTGTGTCTCTAGTGTAACTTAGCCATCTTCTTTGTACTGTCCTTCAAAGGGAAATGACATCATATTATAGTTTGTTTCAATTATCTGACTTTTGTCATGATTGGCCCCAGACAACAGTAAGATTTGTTCCAAGGACAGTATGAATGAGTGTCATGTACTCAAGCGTGATGAGGATTTTTCAGAACTGAGACATACCTGAATGATGCTACAGATTTCTGGTCAGAGCCGTCAGAGTTTCTTATCTTTACAGATTTGATTGCTTAGATTGTAAAATAGATTTTTGTTCTGATAAAAGGTACACATTAAAAAGAATATGCCACGAAAGAGACTGCATCTGAAACTGTCTGCGCTGCAAGACAAGAAGCAAATCCTCCTGTATAAGTTCAGTTTCAGAAGCAAAATCTTTTATCACAGATGCAGTGAAACAGTAATCTCTACATAAAGTCTTATTTAGTTTTATTTTCTGTTTTAAAACTGCACAGCATCCTAGCACTTAAAATTCAAACTGATTTTTCTTTGTTTGGACAAAAATCCTTCAGACAACAAGTACAGAGAACAGAATCTCTTCAACACATGCCTTCAGTAAGCCGCCCATACATTCAACGCACATGTGAGAGCCTCACATAGAGAAGTTATATTGTGTTTGCAAGCCATAGAAGAGTGTACATAAGAAATGTATATGAAAACTATATCTATAAATATGGAAAAATATAGAGAAGCCCAAACTGTATAACCAGCTGAATTTTGAGCGAACCTGTAACCTTAAGATATACAAAACTTCAGAAGTTCTTGTAAGGCTGAGTTTTAAATTCAGCATTTTATAGAAAGTGCATAAATCCTCATGAGGAAAGTGACGGCAAAGGAAAACAAGAATAATATTATATTCAGACAGACGGTGTGTATGTGTGTGAGGAAATAATGAGATGGTGTATAAAAAATGAATCTAGAAGTGTTCCTCGTGAAGCCAAGTTTTCTGATTGGGAAACCAAAGACTGCGAGCAATAGAGACTTTAGAGGGAGTGGTGGTTTGTCAGATGACGGCACTAATGTGAAATGCTTGAACACTGAGAATGAGACCTGTATTTTGTGAATTGTAAATAAATTTCGCTAAGGCAGCTACCTCGCAGAAGCAGGGTCTTCTCTTGGTGCTGGCTCTCGAAGCGCTCAGAGAAATTCAACTTGTCTGCTTGTTTTATTTTTCTTCTCTATTGACTCCATGAGACGACATCTCACCAGAGACTGATGTACAGATTGACTCTTTATTTTGACAAAGTTTTATTCAAACAGACTGAAGTCGAAATCATTGAGGATGATTTAATTTTGAAATTGTGAATCCTTTGGGTGAAATCTGAAAATCATATCTGCCTTGCGAAGCCTTCGTATATATTTTTATTCTGCCTCTAAAGACACAAAGCCTTTTGGATGAAATCCTGTGGTAACTAGAAGATTACTCTTCGACAGAGTACAGAGTTTTTGCATTGTCTAAAAACTCTATAAAGAGCACAGAAATGACAATGCTAGTATTAATAAGAATGATGGTGATGCTCACACTTAATTACAAGAAGTCTCAATTTTGTCTCGGCTCACATCTGAGAAAATACCTAATGAAAAGAAAAAAAAATGTATGCTCATCAACATAAAGCTTAGTTATCTGGACACTCATTTCACAGTACAGCAAAGCTTTGTTTACATGACATGTAAGAAAACATTTAAACAATGTATAAAACATCATTGGACACACTGTGCAGTCCTACCACACACGTGGAAACATTTCTCTTTGCACACAAAAAAACAAAAAAAATGTGATTGAAATTATTAATTAACCAAAACATAATCTGCAGCAGTTTTTATAAAAAGTACATTTTTCTTAATTTCTCAAACCAAAAAATCCAAACAATACTTTCCTTGAACTTTTATATTGCAAGATTTGAAAAACCTGGATGATCTTCAAGGGAGTCGACAATGAAATGTTAATGTGTATGTATTATGGGGGTGGGAACAAAATGTTTAATCCACTCAGATGTCCTTTAAAAATATAATCAGTCTAAACAAGGATTATATTCTCCAGATGAGAGCTATTACAAAAGAGTCACTCTGTTAACACAAAGTTTATCATAACTTTTTTCAGATCTCCCTTAGTTGTAGTTTTATGATTTTAAGTGCCGTACATTTGCTCAGTGAGGACAGAAAAACAAAAGCTTTGAGCTTATTTTTTGGCCTGCCGTTCATTAACCAGCTAATGCATTTTTCTGTAGAGATGAAGCTTTCATGCTTCCTGGTTGATCCCTGACAAACAAACCTTCACAGAGAGAAACAGACTAAGAGCAGCAGCTCCATCTTCCTTCTGCAATGGATCCTGTTTCACTTGAGGCCCGTGTTTGTTGTCACTTCCCGCGGCCTACAAGCTAAAATGTTGTCCTTCATGTCTCTCATGTCTAACTTAACACCCCACCCCCCCTTCCCTGCCAAGCCTTTCCTCCCTCTGTTGTTTCTTTTCCAGCGTCGGTGCTCTGAAACGTAAGATGATCCATTAAGTCGGACAGGAAGTTCTTGACGTGGGGGTCAGGCTCTCGTCTGCAGGGCGCACGGCAGCAGGTCTGGTCAGAGCCAAGGTCAACACCAGGCGCGTGTGTGGACATGAAACACAAAGAAAGACGAGATGACTGACATCAAACACACATTCTGCACATCCCTCTAACATAAAAGTGTGGGTTTAGCTGGGGGAAAAAAGAGAAGAAGAGATATGAGTCTAACACCCCCCCCCCCCCCCCTGCTGTCCTCCAGGTTTGATAAATGGTTTTTCTGTGGTGTTTAAATGTGGGACACGTTTTTAATCTCTCCATCTGTGATGCTCCACCTACAGGTCACACAAATAAAGACAACACCACACTTAATATAGCTGTTAGTTATAGTATCAACACTATTAATCTTAAAGTAGCAATATGGTGCGTTGCACTGTTATTGCCCCCAGCATGTTTTAGAGAGGCACCACTCCAGAGGAAGAAACCCTGAAACCACTAAAGAATGATTCATGTGTTCCATTAATGCTCTGACATAATCCCTCTTAAGGCCATATACACCCAAAATTAAAAACTGACATACAAATGACACACATTCATCTTTCAGAACACTGAATATACATTTAATGCATATCAAATATTTTTATATTTCACTTTTTTTAAGGGACCAAAATGATTGCTGTCATTCTCCATCGTTGCTAAATCTATTGTGCATTGGTTGGTGCGTCTAAAACATCCGACCAATCGAAGGCAGAATATTTGCAAAAAGTGGTGTGAGTATTGTTGATCCCAAAAAAACACAGATGCAATTTTTTTGTGATTCCATTGACCTTTCTGAATCTAAGCAGCATATCTTAAAACCCCCTTAAACTAACTCTGACTCCTCAGATAACATAGTGTTTGAAATTCCTTTGAGACAAGCATTGGGTTTTTGTTCAGCATGTTGAAATTGCGACTTTCAATAGACCAGTGTGAAAGCAAACATATTCCTCCTACACTGTTGGAGTAGAGTAAAAAGAAAAAGACGATGGGCTAAAAGTTAATGCATCTTTTGGCAGATTTGCACTTTTCCAAAACGGACTTATCCCAGATTCACTGACTTGCAGCCACAAAGTAGATCCTTGCATTTGTATTGCACTGGTTGTGGCATATACAATCCAGGCATTTAACTTTGTGGTATTTGCACAACCTGAGCACATACATATAAAGATACATCAACACAAAGGAAGCATGCATTGTTTCCAGCCAGTGAGTTATTGTGCGTATAAACTCATGTTGACTTAAGGCTTTTAATTCTTAACATCCATTTGAGTGCCTTGAGTTTGATTTTTGTGCCAGATTATTTCCCATTGAGATTTATCGTCCAATAGCAGCCATGAGAGTTAGCTGTGGTCCTGTTACCTATTTTGCACACTTTTACTATTCAGTCATTCTATTTATTCAGTTAAAATAAACTGACCTGTCTCTCTTTACATGAATATTAAGACCACCATCTTGTCTGTTTGTTAATCAGCGTTAGTGGCTCAGTTTTGAATCCCTTGCTCATGAGTTCATGGATATCTGAACATAACTCACTAACTTCTGTTGCCCAGATTTTCCCAGCTGGTGAAGAACACAAATTAATGATTCTAATGAATTTTATGGGGGACGCACACTGCAATTTATGTGTGTTATTGTAAAGCCTGACAGTTTAGAATAAATCTCTGTGGGTAGCACTGGGTAAACTCTGTATACTCGTGTATCTTCCCAGAAACATTTCTTTTTTGACCCAGAAAGCCGCACCAGTGGACGGATAAATGTGGATAACAGCGTAAATATTTAGATTTCTGGGGCTGATGAACGAGCCGAAGCTGTTTTCTTGGCTGGCCTTCCTCCCTGTCTCCCATCCGGGGACACGGGAAACCAGTTAAAAAGACATTTCCCAAACATCCACGTCCATCGCAGAATGTATTACCCTGACGTCAGGGAGCATTACATGTGAGCTGACTCAGAAGAGACTGTGCAGCCTCCAAGGAGCACTTTACTCTGAAGCTTGTAGGTGTCAGATTTTCAATTGGAGGATATCTCATGTAGTTAAACTCCCACAGGCAGAGATCAGCACAGGAGAGCTAACAGTGAGACTGAGCAGAGGTTTGACATATAGGAGTTCTAAATTTAACCATTTATCAGTGCAGTCCAGTGTTCTTGTACCGTATGAGGAAGCAGCGAGACATGTATGGCATGTTCATCTGTTTGAGCGGATTTTCTTCTCAGCCTCCCTAACATTTGAAACTGTGAAAACCTGTAGCAAAATGTTATTAACACATTCATCAACTCACAGTGTTAAGGGAGTCAGTTCAAGTTTGGCTGCAGCGGAGTTTGACATGCAGGATTTACAGTGCACATTATCTATCGATTCCATACAGTGAAGCCGCTTTGCACAAGGGGAAATCTCTCTATGTGTGCATAAGCAACTCATGAGGACTGTAGGGGCAGGCTGTCCTGAAATTATCTGGAAATGTGAAAGAGTGCATGTGAGAAAACGGATTTAGTTTGCAGCTATAACAGTAAGACTCATTTATTGTGTGTAGAATCCTTGGAAATAAAGCCTGATTCTGGTTCTGAAACTCAATAAGACAGGGATCTATAAAGTCCATAAGGAGGAAACTATACTACTTACCTGAGTTGTCTTTTGTCATAAATGTCTGCAAACGTTTCCTCTTTGAGGAGCAGTGTTTACTTCGACCGAGGAGAAACAGGGGATAGTCCATAATGCAAAAAAAGATAAAAATAGATAAGTAAAAGTTACAGCGTCCATTTCTCCAGCTCCCTCAAAGGTTAGTGCTGTCAAGACAGCTTGATCTCTGCCAACAGTGCAAACTCACATTTCAGAATTCACCCATGTTATATTTGGCACAGAGACTTTTGATTACATCACCCCCAGAAATGAATCCATAGCCAGCAGTGATTCCAGTCAGATTAACTGATTTAACTGCAGATTTTCACAGCTTTTTTTTGTTGCTTTTTTTCAAACACAGACCTCTAGCTTCACATAGACTGGAGTCTGGCCAATAAGAGGCTCTGTCAAGTCAACAGGTTCATCCAGCAGGAGAAGTTTAAATGGGCTGACATTGAAACAACAGAAAAAACTCCAACACATCTAATTATTATTTAAAAAAAACAAATGGAGTATGACATGTTTTGACTTATGTCAAAGTTTGTTTAAAAGTCCAACATGACGATGACATGACATTAGGATTATGTGAGGGACGATTGTGGTGTTTTAGAGTTAGACTTTTCTTGACTTGGTTTCTACGTATAAGCAAAAGGGCACCTCAAGCTAACTTTTACTGTTTAAGTCCATAGAGTGCTCCTATCCTCATGTTTTTTATTTCTGCAGACCTCAAACACACCTCAACGTCATCCAGCAAGGTGCTGCAAAGGCCAATCCTATGCACCAAATAACACATTCCTGCTAGTGAATAATAATGTATTTCTGATACTTATCTCAAAAATGTTGTAAAGAAAGCAAAATATATATTTATTTTAATTCCAAATGTTCTACATGTGACTTTCTGAATCATATTTCAAGGATGCCTGAAGCAACTCACAAACAACAATGGATGTGTTGTAACACAGTGAGGATTTCAGACTCAGCAGCTCCTGCTTTATAAACTCCCGTGTGAAAGATTACACCTCACTTTTCTACTGAAGCATGTCGCTAAATACGTTTTGTATATGGAAATCAACTGACCCAGGTATGTACTAGCATAGTAAATGTACATGATGATGGTGGTGGTGGTTTAATGTCCTGTAGCATGTTGTCTGTCCTTCTGTATTGCATTTGCAGTTAGTCTTCATGTTAGTAGGATTATGAGTGGTGCTGCTGTAGTTGTAGCTGCAGTAATACCACTGTAACACACTCTCTGTTGAAGTGTCTCTGTGTGCAGGCAGCCTGTCTGGGCCTGCCAGTCCTCTCTGCTGGCTGAGCAGATTGTCCTGTGATAGGAGGAGCAATGTTACCTGATGAACCAATCATAAGAGACGTGAGGGAGGCAGCAGCTTCTGCCACAACATGAGGGGTGTTGTGACAGAAACAGAGAGCGGGCCAAGAAACACTCACACTGGTAACACTGGTAAGGATTCAAAAGAAACATTAACAAACACTTGAATTCTCTTTTGTACAAACCACAATTTTGAAAAGAATGATCCTAAAATGGTAGGTTTAGTCCTTATCGATAACTATCTGAACCTGGTTTGTTTCATGTGATGTTACATTCAGGCTTTATTAGGGTGCACTAAAGTAAAACCATGATAAATATTGTATGGTTCCTACTAAAAATGAACATTAGATTTTTTTCTGGAATAGAAACTTGTTGAAGGTTTCCAAAGAGCTTCCTCGTCATGTCAGTGATAAAAGTAGTTTCAGGGTTACACAATGGGAAGGCTTAGTTTGGAAAAACTTTCTTTAGTAGCTTTATATAATGCAAACATGTCTGGTCTAAACAAAGTGTAAACACTCTTGCATTTCTCTGCACACTTGAACTTATTCAAGAGAGAAATCAGGTCTTGTGTTGATTTCTGGCACTTTAATGGACTAAAATAAACCACTATGAACTTTTTCTACAGCTTCCATCTCAGACCACTGTGATATTTATGGGCTGACCCCTGAAATATGAAACTCTCTGGTTCAGAATTTTGTTAAGTTTACCTTCAAACACCCATGATAAAACTCAATACTTGATGTCTTTACAACATACACCTTTTTTACTTAAGACCATTTATTTCACTTCTTGAATTTCTTTGCACTCTGTCATATGAGCAAAGCAAACTCCTTACCCAAGAAGTAATGAATTGTGTGATTTTGCTACCATGGTAACCTCCAAACACTGATAATATGACTCCACTCTTACCTCAGAGTTGGGAGTGAATGATTTTGTGCTTTTTCTGTGACTTTGACAATATTGGAGCAATGGACGATTTTCCTGTTTGTCTTTGAGGTCTTTAAGGTCAAATTGAACATGTCATGTTTAATATTTATTGCTCACTCTCTCTCTCTCTCTCTCTCTCTCTCTCTCTCTCTGGCATGTGTTAATGTCTGGTCCTGCAGAATGTGTGGTAGGATCCACTTCAGGATGGGATGTGTGTCTTGTAAAGCCAGCTTTGAATGTTTTATTGATCAATAACGATGCAAGGTGAGTGTTATACACACACTTAGACTTGTTGAAACAGTCGAGATAACCGATAAACACGTGAACAATCCTCACAGACCAAATGCAAAACACAGATAATATGTTCGTAATTGTTTTGATTAATAGATTGAGAGTTTTATGTTCCTGTAAATAAAACAATGCACAACTTTTGGCGTGCTAAAGTTTGATCCTCGGCAACTTGCAGCCACCCACAAACTAAATACCCTAAAGTTAAACACACACCTTTAAAAAAAAAAACAAAAAAAAAAACACACACCTTGAAAGTCAATCTGACATTTGAATAGAGGGATTAAATCAGAGTTTTGTAATCACACATCTTAAAACGCACACAGCTTCTGTACACAGAGTGCTGGGTGTTTGAGCAGAAGGCTGAAGGAGCAGCTGTTGTTAGCTCATCATCGCTGAGTGTAAACAGATTAGTAAGATAACAGATGGAGCAAATAATAATAATAACTGTGATGCAAGTTTTGATGTGTAAGAATGACTGGCCTTCAGGCGTCGAATGCAGTTTCCATTACTGCGGTGCGTTTTAGAAGAGTTATTACTGGCAGCAGAAGTAATAGTTTAGTGTGAAAACATACGGCTGGATATTGGTAGTAGCTTCTACATTTAGCTAAGCACTGTTTTTGAAGTATTTGATACTTCAGATACAGAACTGCAATCATCTTACAGCTTCAGTCACTCTGCTGTTTTAAATCTGACATACGAACACATAGGCAATCTAAAGTATGCAAAGATAAGGATCAATAATGCATCCAAACCTTTTCTGCAGGGGTTCGTGACAACTATTTGATGTTGATGTTCCTTCAATGATCTTCTTTATTCATTTGTTTCTTTATTTTTTTTACACATTTTCTGGGCCGTTTTTGCATTTATTATATAGGACAGCTGAAGAGTGAGGGTAAATGTTGAGAGGAGAGAGTGCAGTACAGAGACGAGGTCGGATTCAAACCCACGGCTGCTGCACATGGGGCCTGACATAACTGCTTGGCTGTCAGGGGCCCCCAGTGTGTCTTGTTTAAATCAAAATGGCGGTAACTTTGTCTAAAGTTAGCGTATGTTAAAAAGCAGCAGCAGTTGAAAAAGGATTATTATTTTGTTTAACTTGTTTTTCCGTTCTGTCCTTCCCATTGATCGTACTATGTTTTCCCCACCCCACCATTTAACTTCTAATGCTTAGCCTTGTTGTGTAAATGAATGATTGTGTACAAATAATCATTTGATTCTGTTTTTACTTAACTTTAGAACAGCAGCACATCTACTGGGGAATCCTGGCTGTATTATCGATATTTTGCAGATAATACCACTGATGTTATACTTCATTCAGGATCTTTCTTGCAGTGGATTTTTTTTTTCCTTGAGTATAAGATCTGAATACTTCTCACTGAGCATATGACAGATGGAAATGATAAAAGTGCAATAGTAGTAATAATAATTAACATTTTTTAATAATAATTAACATTTTTTTAGTTTGATATTTGAGATTGTTTTGTTAAAAAAAGCGCTGCTTTATTTTGTGATTTTCTGAGTGAGACAAGTGATAAACTTCTTGTCTTGTAGTCAGGGTAAGAATTAACTTTTAAATGTCAAACTAAACCCCATTCAAAAATCTTACATTAGTGTCAACAAGACAACCAGTTTATCCCCCGGGATGCTTTGACGATGTTTTCTGTTTTAACACTCCTCTAAGAAACAAATGCCATACCAGTAGAAAAAACAAAAGTTATATCCTTTTTCAGCAGGCTTTTATAAAATGACTGTTTTGTTCTTTCGGAGTAAATTCTTTAATTCTATTTTATGAAAATTAAATTAAAAAAAATCAATTGCCTCTTAACACAATACAATATAAATGAATGCGATGCTTAATGACCCAGAATGTTAAGTGATATAATTGTAATATAATTGTAATATACAATATATAATTGTATTGATTATCTTCTTCTTTTGGTTATAATTGTTGAAGTTGCATTCTGAGCAAGCAGGTATACTTGTATGCGTTTACCTGCCGGACGCCTCAGTGTCTCGTCTTTATTTGCGTCCATCAGTCTCTGTCGGCAGCACCTCGGGGCGCAGCGCTTATCAGTTCTTTGTTTACCTCTCAATTAATGCCCATTAGTAAGAAGAAGCTCCTCGTAGGACTTTAAGTTTGGGATCTCAGCTGGTTAACAGCTCAGACTGACAGATCTCAATCTGAGCGCACAGACCGACTGTCTGTCTGCAGTGGAGACGCACTGATCACTGCTGATAGCAATCATATTTATTAGTGTTATTCTTCCTGAATCTTCTCTCAATAACTCAGCTTTAGTTTGATTTACATTGGAGGAACGTGCGTTATAGCAATGTTATTTAGGAAGTAAAATTCCAGCAAAACACTTATTTTGAGCTTTATCTAACTGAGCATTTATGAGACTTTTGTCCAAGGAAAGATCCATTCATCACTTTTACGAACCCTTGCACTTATTTCACTCACCGCAACTCCTCCACGTCCTCTCTACGGCCTGTGTGGATCTGTATAAACAGGGTCTGTGGGTTTCGGTGGGAGATGATTCAGTAAAAGTGGCCCCTGCTGTTCGCTCTCAGTCCTGGCTGCTGTCTCACATTAGTAGTAGGTGTAATTATACAAGAATGGGTTTGGGAAACAACTGTTCTCAGGCCTGGGGAACAATTACGCGCAGAGGAAAAACAGCAATTGATGCTTTTCCTCTCCAATTTTCACACGTTTCCTGATGATGTATGTTTGAAATCCTTATTTTGACAATTAATTGTGTGGGTTTATGTCCCATGAAGGGGGAACAATT